GAAGAGAGTAATAATTTCTTTGTAATTAGATAAAGATAGCATGAAATTAGATCATTACAGAAATAAGAAGTAGGTATTTTTATTTCAAGTTTAGAAGAAACTTAGAATAGTAAAACTCAAAAGTCAGAACGTTTAAGATGATAAAGACAGTAGGGATAAAGATAATAAACAGGTACATGTTTTAAAAGACATAGTAAAAGAATACAGCATAATAAAATAAATCTAAGACAAATCATTTAGTAAAAAGGTTATTCTTAAGGTATTATAATTACAGCTTTATAATTTATGAGTAACATTAGAAGGCATCTTAAATAAAGTAGGCTGATTATCTTTTGATAGGAAAACTTTGATATGTAAAATTGCATTATTATAGAAATGATGGCATTTTATTTTTATAAAAATTAGAATAGGTTGTGTTCATTACACTTATTTAGTGTATATAACTGATCGTTTTTATAAAGTCTGTTTGGAAAATCTTACTTTGAGTTTTTTTCAAATGTGATAATGAGATACAGGTTGAGCATCCTTAATCTGAAAATCAAAAATCCTAAATGTTCCAAAATGCTAAACTTTTTGAGCACCAACATGACACTGAAAGGAAATGCTCACTGGAGCATTTTGAATTTCAAATTTTTAGATTAGGTATGTTCAACCAGTGTGTATTTGGCAAATATTCCAAAATCTGAAATCTGAAACACTTAAGGTCCCAAGCATTACAGATAAGGGATACTCAGGCTGTATTACAATCTCGAGTTTGAAGGTGACTTTTCCAGTACTTGTATAATTTTTGGGTTTTAAAAATATTTTTGACTTATTTACTTTCTAAAAGTTGAACTTCAGTTGAGTATTGAACGGTTTAGTCGTGTCTTGAAAAAATGGTATTGTGCTAAGTGGCAAGATAAGAATATAATCCAGGTAGAGAATAATAGCTTGCACAATAGCACAGAACATAGTGCACTTGGATACCTATGCGGATATCTAGATCTGGGTGATGGCAGAGGAGAAAGACGAGGGATAAAGTTAAAAATGTACTGAGACCAAGTCATAGAGGCTTTGTCTGCTACACTAAAGATCTTCAGCTTTGTCTTATAGGAGGTGAGCAGCCATTGATATATTTTATGTAGGGAAGTGAGATAATTGTATTTTGGTTTTTCTGACCTGGCACTAGTGTGGGGAGTGAGTTAGAATGGACTGAGGCAGAATAAGTTAAGGGCCAATAGTAGTAATCAGAAGAGTCGGAGGTAAGTTGATGAACTAAGATAGTGATAGGGGCCATCTAGAAGACAGTCTACGAGGTGGCAGCTCAAAATGTGGTAACTAATTGGATGGGATGGAGGTAGGGTCAGGGAAGAATTCAGATAACTCCCAGGTTGCTGGGTACGTACTATAGGAAATGAAAGACAGACACCAAGCATATGGGCTGGGAAAAATTGGATAAAGATTTTAGCATTGAGTTTGAGATGCCCATGGCATATTATTTTATTATATTCTTTCCCTAGTCTTCTCTGCTCTCCAGGCTCAGATATCCAACTAAGTAATTGATATTTCTGACTAGATGTCTGCTAGACATCTCAAATTTCAAATTTCTGAACTTAAATTGGTAATTTTTTCAATTTTCATTTTTTTTCCTCAAGCTAAAAGCCTCTGATCTTGACTTCTCTTTTTCTTCTATATACAAACTAGCCTCCGCCTCCAAACTAACAGCAAATTCTGTTGGCGAACCTTGAAGAATCCAGAATCCAACCACTTTACTACCTTCACTGCTACCACCCTGGTTCAGGTTACCGTTATCACTTACTTGGATTATTACAGTAGCCTCTGAATTGATATCTCAATGTCTACTCTTAACTTTTCATCTTAAGTGATCCTCGTAAGTCAGATTGTGTCACCCTGCTCATTGTCTTCACTACTCTGCAGACATCCTGGCTGCCTTCTAAACAGAAGAACATTCCAAGTGAACTCCCACTCAAGAGCCTACAAGTATTTCCCTCTGCCTGGAATGTTCTCTCAGATAATAGTATGGCTGTCACTCAACTTTATTTCTTGCTGTAATGTTATCTTATCAAAGAGACTGTTCTTTAGCAACCTACAGTCCTATAAAGTAACAGCCCCTTTTCATTGCCCTCTGTCCCTTTAGTGTGCTTTATTGCTTTATTTTTCTTAACAGGTTTATCATCTTCTGACATATAAGTTCATTTTTATACCCGTAGCATCTAATAAAAGTACTTGACACTTAGTAGGCACTCAATACATATTAAAAGGTGGATGCATAAATGACAAAAACCCTGACCAGACAGTTGGATATATGGATATGGATTATGGGAAAGATTTTAGCTAAGGGAAGAGGGAGAGAAAGAGAATATATACTTGTTTTTTATTCATTTATTCATTCATTATTCATTTAGTAAGTTACTGATCCCTTTACTTTGTATCAGGTAGTCTGCCAGATGATGGGGTTACAAGATAAAAAGGCAGTATCCTTACCTTTAGTAAATTCATAGTCTTCTGGAATAAGACAGATTGTAAATGCATTGTAGTATATGCTGTTTATTAAATAGCCAGCAGTAAAAGCCATGAAACAGTATGAGATCATGCAGGAATTTGAGGATTATCTTTTTTATTTTAATTTTTTTCCCCAAGATGTTGAGCACTTTGAAGATAAGAACTAGAGTATCCTGTTCATTTTTGTATTCTTTGCACTTTTAGCACCTCAGCCTTATTAAAATTATAAAAATAATCCTAATAATATGAAGAATGTACTGTGTTGGGAAAGGAAGGGGAGTTTGGTAGACAAATAATGTTTTATGGTCTGATAAATGTTAGATGAAAACAGGACCTCCAAGTTGATATTCACTCAACATCTGTACCTATTAGGTTAGAGTTCAGAGAACTGGTCAAAACAGATAGAAATTTGAGACTTATTTACATATTGTTAAATTACATTATTTGTTAAAAAACATTTTTTTAGACCAAAGGATGCTATCCCATGGGAAATGTTCAAATTTTTATTTATTTATTTATTTGTTTGTTTGTTTTTAAGGTAATTTATCATACATGTGGGGTACAACATTGATTTTCAATAATTGTGTACAGTGTGTGATGATTAGATCAGGATAGTTACCTTATTCAGTATTACAATATGCAGTCATTCTTCGTGTCTGTTAATCTCCCTCCTTCTCCCCCGCCCCTCCCCTTTTCCATCTCTAGTAACCATGGTTCTTTTCCCTCTTTCTAAAAGTTCAACATATTACTGTGGTGGTTGTTTCTTTCTTTCTCTCTCTGTCTCTCTTTATTGATTGTTTATTTATGGATTCAGATCCTGGTTATGAGTGAGAACATGCAGTATTTCTCTTTCTGTACCTGGGTTGTTTCACTTAGGATAATTTTCTCCAGGCTATTCCATGTTGCCATAAATGGTAGAATTTCATTTTTTTTTAAGGGCTGAGTAGTATTCCATTGTGTATATATACCACAATTTCCTTATCTAGTCATCCATCAGTGGACATTTAGGTTGGTTCCATCGCCTGGCTATTATAAATAGAGCTGCAATAAACATGGGAGTGCAGATATCCTTTGGACCTGATGATTTCCAGTCCTCTGGATATATCCCCAGAAGTGGATTGCTGGATCATATGGTAGTTCTATCTGTAGTTGTTTGAGGAACCTCCATACTTTTCTCCATAATGGCTGTGCTAATTTACAGTCCCACCATCAGTACAGAAGGGTTCCTCTTTCTCCACATCCTCGTCAGCATTTGTTATTCTTTTTTATAATAGCCAGTCTAAATGGGGTGAGGTGATATCTCAAAGTGGTTTTGATTTGCATTTCCCCGATTAGTGATGTTGAGCATTTTTTCATATACCGGTTCGACATTTGTATGTCTTCCTTTGAGAAACATCTATTAAGCTCCTTTGCCCATTTTTAAATTGTATTCTTTGGAGTTTTTTGCTATAAAGTTGTTTGAGCTCTTTGTATATATGGATATTAATCCCTTGTTGGATACGTAGTTTGCAAATATTTTCTCCCATTCTGTAGGTTGTCTTTTCATGCTGTTGATTGTTTCCTCTGCTGTGCAGAAGCTTTTTAGTTTGATATAGTTCCATTTATTTATTTTTTCTTTTGTTGTCTGCTTTTGGGGTGTTATTCAGAAAGTCTTGGCCCAGTCCTAAATCCTGGGGTGTTTCCCCTAAGTTTTCTTCTAGGAGTTTTAAAGTTTCAGGTCTTACACTTAAGTCTTTCATCCATTTTGAGTTGGTTTTGGCATGTGGTGCGAGACATGGATCAAGTTTCATTCTTCTATATATGGATATCCAGTTTTCCCAGCACCATTTATTAAAGAGGCAGTCTTTTCCCCACTGTGTGTTCTTGGTACCCTTGTCAAAGACCAGTTGGATGTAAATATGTGGGTTGATTTCTGGGTTCTCTATTCTGTTCCATTAGTGCACATGTCTGTTTTTATAACTATAAATTTGCAATATAGTTTGAAGTCAGAAAGTATAATGCCTCCAGCTTTCTTTTTTTTGCTACAGATTGCTTTGGCTGTTTGGGGTCTTTTGTTGTTCCATATGAAAGTTAGCATTGCTTTTTCTATTTTTTTGAAGAATGTCATCATTATTTTGATGGGGATTGTATTGAATCTGTAGATGGCTTTGGGTAGTATGGACATTTTTACTACATTGATTCTTCCAATCCATGTACAGGGAATGTCTTTCCATCTTTTAGTGTCTTCTTTAATTTCTTTCAGTAGTGATTTGTAGTTCTCATTGTAGAGATCTTTCACCTTCTGATTAGATTTATTCCTAGGTATTTTGGTTTGTTTTTTTTTTTTTTTTTTTTTTTTTGGTGACTACTGTAAATTTTAAAAAAGAAGGAATAATCAGAAAAGGTGAAAAAGAAAACTAAAATGATTTAAACTTGAAATGTTTGGGGTAATTTTATTTTCCAGCATAGAAAGTGAGTTTTCTATTAAAATATAAAAACAATGATTTTTATTTTATCAGGGGTTGATATAGAAGCAGCTCGAAAGGAAGAAGAAAGGATAATGCTTAGAGATGCAAGGCAGTGGCTAAATAGTGGTCATATAAATGATGTCCGGCATGCAAAATCTGGAGGTACAGCACTTCATGTTGCAGCTGCTAAAGGCTATACAGAAGTTTTAAAGTAAGTATTGTTTTTTGTAGTCATTTTTCTACTTTGGTTTGTTTTCTCTGTTTCATCGTTCCTTTTCTTAAAATACCTGCAAACATTCTGAAGCAGCTTAGAAAAAAAGTTATTTAATGGCTCTTTTCAGGAAGAAAGAGAAAACTATCTTAAATATGATTACTTTTGTTACTAATGTCTTTTCACCTTGAATTTTTATTATTCTACTCTTGTTTTTTTCAGTTGTGATTTTCCAGTGAATTTAAGTATCAATCATTTTATGTTACCTTTTGGACTAATAAATTATTATAGAGTCATTTTGAGTTTTCCAGATTGACAAAATTGGCTCCTGAGACTAAGAACGATGTCGTATAAACATATCATAATTCTGCATGGTTGATTCCTGCTGAATATTTATTTACATGTAGTTTATCTCAGATACAGTTTTCTTACTACATGAACACTGGAACTCAGTGCTATTAGCCTAATAACTTTGACTCTGTTGGGTTATATAGTAATCAGATTTCCTTGGAACAAAGCTCCTTTATGTCACTATATTATATATATATGTATATATATATTTTTTTTAACTTATGCATTGCAAAAGTGTTGGCAACTGTATCAGTCAGAATTCTCCACAGAGATAGAACCAATAGGATATATGAGAGGGGATTTATTAGGGGAATTGGCTCACGTGGTAGTCCATCTGCAAGCTGGAGAAGTAGAGAAGCTGGTAGCATGGCTTTTAGTCCAAGTCCGGAGTCTCAGAACCAGGGAAGCTGAGGTGCAGCCCTCAGGCTGAGGCTGAAAGCCTGAGAGCCCCAGAGAGGCCACTGATGAAAGTCCCAGAGTCCAAAAGCTGAAGAACCTGGAGTTTGATGTCCACAGGCAAGAGAAGAAAAGGCATCCAGCTCTGGAAAAGGAGAGAGAAGAGCAGAGAGACTCCTCCCCTCTTCCACCTGTTTGTCTCATCTGGGGCCCCAGCTGATTGGATGGTGCCCATCAATATTGAGGATGGATCTTCCTTTCCACTGATTTACATGCCAGTCTCCCCTGGAAACACCCTCAGACACACCCAGAAACAGTGCTTCTCACACATTTAGGCATCCCTCAGTCCAATCAAGTTGATACCTGAAATTAACCATCACAGCAACTGTAAGAAAAAAAATTATTTGGCACATAACTTTTGTTATATGTATGTGAAAGTACATAAGACCAGTCAGTCCTCAGAAAATCTACTACACCCTTTAAATTGCTTCTGACCTACTTGAGTTTCTAATATCAATCTGTCTTCCTTATTCCCTTTCATCGTAAAAGCAGTGAAGAAGTTTAAGTGGGTCAACCAATTCCCATGTTCCCTCCTCTTTTCAATCTCTACTCATCTTCAGTATCTTAGGCCTTCTCCTAAAATGGTAGCGTTGCCTTTTAATTAATTTCCTTGTCTCCCATCTGTTTCTCACTAATCAAAAATTTTTTGAAGTTTTCAAGTCCCATTAGCTTATGATGAAATGAATTTAGTGAGTTGCCAGCAGCATTTTTGTAAAAGAATAGAAAATATCAAAGAGTATTGCATACAGAAAAGGTAAGAATTGTTTCTTAAAACTCTTGTTTCTATAAACATAGTATGAGTACTGGATTGCATTGTAAAATAGGTTTCTAGACTGCTTCCGGGTTATCTTTGTAATTAAGTTATTACCCAAGCTCCAGAAATCCTTCATTAAGGCTCTCAGTGGGAGTCAGGATAAATTTTAAACTCTTCAACTTAGCACATAAACCCCATCATCATCTGGCCACTGTCTGCTCCTTTAAACTAGCTGCCATTATTGCTCCTCAAACATGCATTATTCCAGCCATATATGTCTATTTGAAATTCAGTCATGATGTCATAATGCCTATTGTGGTTTCTGTCTAGATGCCTTTATTTACCATCTCTTCAACTTGGAAACAAATTCTATTCAATTCTTTGAGTCAATTCAAGGCTCTTAATCTTATGCAAAAAGAAATGTTCAACTTTATTTATAATTAAATGCAGATAAAGCTACAGTGAATTTTATCATTTTATCTGTCATATTGGTAAAGATCAAAACATTTAGCACACTTTCGGCAAAGTATGGGGAAAAGGCACTCAACATCACTGGTGGAAATATAAATGACAAGTGAGCAAATTCTATTAAAGTAACAGTTGTTCTTTAGCTCAGAAATTCTATCTCTGAATTTTTTTACAGATATTCTTACCCACATAGGAAGTAAAGTATGTATAGGAGTAGGAGAATGGTTTAATAAAGTATGGTACATCCTTTCACTGGAATACCCTGCAGCAATTAAAACATGAATGAGAAATCTATTTACATATGGCTATGGAAAGAGCACCAGGATGTATTATGAAATGTCAAAATCAAGAAGTATGCATTATTTTTATTCGTTTTACAAATTTAAAAATTGTATTTGCTTATATGTACAAGAAATCTTTCTGTAAGGATGCAGTCAAAATTAATAGCTTGGTTATCTATGGGGAGGGGAAACTAGCTGGCTAAAAGGTCAGCAGTGAGAGAGTGACTTCCCTATATATCTTTTTATTCTTTTTTATTTTTGAAATGTTACTTATGAAAATAAATAAGTAAAAATATGTTTGAAATGAAAAATAAATAGGAGAAATCTGTTTCAAATGAAGCCTTCTCTCACTTCCCCTTCCCTAAAACACACAAAGCCTTTCAATTTGATTTTGATGCTTTTCAGTTCTGTACTCCCATTGGATCTTCATCACAGAACCTGTCCATAAGGGCTAATTGTTGTTTTACTTGTCTTTTGCCCTTCATTGAATATAGCTAGTTTTTTTGTGTGTTTGTTTGTTTTTTAAGTATCCTTGTAGGACCTGGCATATTCAGAGAATCATGTTTGTTGAAAAAAAAATTATCTACCTTCCTAACTCTCTCTTCCCTCTCCACATAGACTCCCAAGTACATATAGTTTTACGTTGCTCAGTATAGTCGACATTATAGTTCATATTTCCTAATGGCAGATATGTTTTTATTGCCTTATATTCCAGTATTATCTCTGCCTCTATTAACAAGGTTTCTGATAATATATGTGTTAGAGATATTTCTCTAACGTAAATCTCTGGACTTATGTATATCTGTTAGCCTTTTCTTTAGATTGTGGCTCTTAAATGTTAGTCTGCATATAGTCAACAGTCACTGATAAGAGAATCATATAGGGGACATATTAAAAATATAGTTTGACAGGGCCCACCTCCCAATATGCTAATTAGTAGTATTGGGGTGCAGCTGGGGAATCTTTTTAAATTTTTTTAATAAGCTCTTCAGATGGTTCTGAACCAAGATTGGTAACAGCTGCTTTAGGTATTGTTAGGAAAAAAGGGATCAATTCTTAAACATAAATAAATGAAGGGTCAATTATACATTAGCTATCACTACCACCTCCTGTAGGTAAAAAGAAGCCCTTCTCAAGCACATCATCTTGGAAAGTAAGGTAAAGGTCAACTAGATTTCATGAATTGTAAAGTATCAAGTGTTCGCCTTTGTGTGTGGGGCTGTGCTGTGTGCAATTTATAGACCCTTTCTTTGCCCTCTGTGAGCTTATTTTCTAAATAGAATAAAGGTTGATGTCAGTGTGCAGTTAGAAGGGCATACTAACATAATTTTTGCATCTCTTTGCATCATATTAAAATGTATTTCTGTCTTCTAGCTTGTTGATGAATGGAATATCTGCTTTCTACTTCTGCAGAAAAATAGACTCGACTCCTTGGAATATGTGTTTTGCTTTATTTTGTTTCTAACAGATTGTCATTTTCCTTTGAAAATTTCCCATGGCATATTATAAAAGTTCATGAAAGCTTTCACAAACCAGTTCCTCAACTGCAAGATAACAAAAACATAACAAAATAAGCTTGTTTGATCTCAGTATATTTTTAGAACACGTTTAGCCTGAGATGTCATATCATGTGGACATCTGATGATAGTCTCTGCAGGAAATCAGTTTTATCTACAAATTGATCCATTAGTTTTTGTTCTTACATTGAGAAAATATGGGCTTTTCTGTGAAAATTTCACTTAAAAGTTATATTAACAAGAATTAATCAGTGTCACACCAAACCATAATAAGACTTATAGTCATTAGGAATTAATTAAAACTACATTATTATGGCAATGATTCAAGATACTTTTTTTCTGAGTGTTTTCTGGGAATTACTTTCTATTCGCCATAGTTAATTCATTGAGGGGAGGGGGGATTTGAACTTTGGAAAGGAATATATTGCAAATTTTGGTTAAATTGCATGGTATAGAGCTGTTGATCCTGTGTGCTTATTTCTAGATTTTAATGATTATCTAATTCACTACAATTTCTTTAGACTTTTAATACAGGCAGGCTATGATGTTAATATTAAAGATTACGATGGCTGGACACCTCTTCATGCTGCAGCTCATTGGGGTAAAGAAGAAGCATGTCGAATTTTAGTGGACAATCTGTGTGATATGGAGATGGTCAACAAAGTGGTAGGCCTCTTAAATGTTTTAACTTTTAGAAATAGAGTTTTGGTTTCAAAATGTTAGAATTTAAATTATGTAATTGTATTTTTTCTCAACCGTAAAAAAAAACGCTTTGCAAGTCATTAATTGATTTATTAGTTCATGGTTTAAGTCTTTCAAGCTACTATGTGAGGTAGTTTTGGCCTTATTCAGCAAAGAAAGAAATACTACTCTTTCAGTAGTCATATTACCATATGTAGAAAGTAAATTTGAGTACTTGCATTGATATTATCTTCTTAGGAATTCATAAATTAAGAAAATTTTGCATTTCTGTGTGAGTTTTCTGCCATCACTATGAGTTAGAATATACATGCAGGGGTGTTTCTAATTTTCTTTAGTTGATAGTCTTATTAGCTTGCTTATAGTAGTTTTTTAAGAGGATGGTAAAAAGTATAAAGATTTAAGACATAAGATCATTGAGATGCAACATCTAGTCTAGTTTTGCAGGTAAGAAAACAGTTTAGTGAGGGAAATTATTTACTTAATATCACACAATTAGTAGGAGGAAGGATCACATGTCATACAAGTGTTTTCACAAAATCATTAAAAGATTCAGGCCATCAGTTTTCTTGTTAGGTTAGGTTTTTCTCCTCTGCTCCCTTTCAAATAGAGTACTATCAGTCAGTGATCACTATCAACAGTATTCCTGCTAGTCCCTTCCCACTCCATGTTGGTTGATGAGTATTATCTATGAAGAACTGGAGAGCCCAAAACGTTTCTCCTCTAGTGAGCTTAATTACCCTTTACTTCCATAGTACGTTCCTTGCATATTTCATTTCATAGGATAATGTACTAAATTATTTAGCAGAGGTTTGTAAAATGATCTCATCTTTATTCAGAACAGGTCCTCTAATTCTGTTGTGTCCATTAATATAGCTGTGTGTGCTGGTTGCTCTGGTAACAGCAATTTCTAATGGGGGAGCTGCAAAAGGAGGAGAGTAAATATGACATGCTCTATGCCCAAGATTTGACCATGGGTAAATGGTTAGAGATGAGGGTAGTAGTGCAGATTCATATCGTAGTTACTGATGTAGCAAGATAAGGGAGCCCTCTGAACTCTTTTGCTATTTCTGGAATAGAGTCCTAAATATATATTTCATTAACTGATTTAAAAATGTATATTATATAATAAATGGGCAGGCAAGAAAAATATAGGAAGTGGTGAAAATCTTCAGGAAAGTCAAGATAAAAATAAGTTTGAGAATGATCCATTTGCTAGTATAGGCTTGCATTTATATATAAGTACAGAAATCTTCATTCTGAATATTTAGTCAAAGTGTTTAATCTGCTTTCTCACAGTTTTTTATTACAACAGTTGTCTGTTTTATAATCAGCTTTAGAGGACAAATAAATGTTAAACTATTTAATTTTAAGTAAAAGGCCAGCTAATTTTAGCTTTACAATTCATGTTTCCTCTCTTTCCATGTAGAAATTCTCCTTGTAATTGTGATTTTTCTGAAGAAATTAGTGGATACTGTTAACCTCTGAACTCTGGTCTACATTCCTGTCTCTCTCCCCCCAAAACACAGCCCTTTAAAGGACACCTGCCCACAAGTGCTGATAGTTGGTTCATTTAGTAATAGTGGCCTCCAAAGACGGACCAGAACAGAGAAACTTATAAATTGAAATGGTTTTCAAAAAAAGATTACTTCACTTCCTAGTTTAAATATGTTACGTTTCCCCCGATCAATTAATATTCTACTGAAACGTGCACAATATATAGTATGTAAAAGAAAAATTATTTTATTTTGTATCTTGTCTATAATTGTCTAGTTCTTATGTCATACAATTCATCATAATTATGCTCCAGGAGAAAGAAACACATAAAATTATTTTGCTTTATATTCTTTTCTTTCTATATTACTATGATAGTAGCTCCTTATGTCACCTTAAATTTTGTTTAATATCTTATTCACTCATTCCATCATTTCAGTGGATCTTTATATGATCTTAAAAGAATTGTGCCTCACATTTCCTTAAAATTTTATAGTTTTCAGAGTTTTTTCACTTATATTATCTAATGTTATCCTTTTAGTAACCCTGCAAAGCTAAAAGTTTTGCAGATTCAGCAACATGATTAAAGAAGTTGAGTAATTTTCCTAAAGCCCTGATAATTGTTTTGGTTTTTCTTTTTTTTTTTAATTCTAATAAGTCCTCTGCAACTTTTTCTTAGTTTTAGTTTTCTCATATATTTTATTTTCCAGATACTATTAAGTTCTAAAAAATATGATTTAAAATTTTTATCAAGATATCATTTCTTTCTTTTAAAAATCAAGATTTTAAAGACATCTTTTAATAGTGTGGAGTTACATAATGCATATAGCATTCTGCAGGCCTTGTGCCATAAAAATACCCAAAATATGAGCCCTTTTTTTTTTTAGAATAACTGTAATGGAAGATATTTTTATAAGATTTTTCTCTTAATTTTCAATATTGTAATAATTTTATAACTTTGCCTAAGTTAGTTAGGCTGTCTTTCCTGTTTTCATTGGTTACATTTTAAAATAAATGTCATGGGCCGGCCCGGTGGCACACTGCTACAGTGCGCCGCTTGGGAGCGCAGCGGCGCTCCCGCCGAGGGTTCGGATCCCACATACAGACCGGCTGCTCACTGGCTGAGCGAGGTGTGGGCGCAACACCGAGGGTTGCGATCCCGTTGCCGGTCCCGGTCCGGTACGGGCGTGACACTGAGGGTTGCGATCTGCTGCCAGTCACGAAAAAAAGACAAAAAGGAAAAATAAAAAATAAAAAATAAAATAAAATAAAATAAATGTCATACTTCATGTTCAATTAAAGCAAATTACTTTGTCTTAATTGTGTAAGCCTGTCTACATAAATTTATCTTGTCATTTGATACCTTAAGTACTTACAGATTGAAGATTTTTACTAAGTTTCTTTTTTAAATGGCATCAAAGAAATGCACTTAATGTACTCTCAGAGTTTCAATGAATTGTTTAGTAATACAAAACATGATTTGGAGAAATGTATGTAATATAGAAAATGCAACAAATCATATAGAAAATCTAAAAGTCTTGCTACATGGAAATGGGGAAAATGTTCCAAAAATAAATATTTAGAGATTTTCTCATTTCTTTAACTTATTTACAAACCGTAAAGCACATTTGCTATCATTTTAATTCATTGTTATAAATTATATGATATAGATTTTAAATATGAAGGTTTTAATTTTGCTTTCTTAACTTATTAAAATAATTTTTTACTAGAATGTGCCAGAGTATTGTCCCTTTTTATATATTAACTAAGGATGTAGTTGGAACTGCTCTTAATGCATTAATACAACTAGCAGGCAAGTTTTTAGGTTGTTAACTGTCATTGTAATGATTTAAATGAATAGCAAAGCTTTTCTGCCATTAATGGCATAAGGATTTTTTTTTTTTTACTCTAATTCTGTCTGAGCCTATTCTTATTTTCTATAAAGACAAAAATGACATAGTAGAGCCATAGAAACCTAGATTCTGTTCCCACATTCCCCTTATTACCTGCATGACCTTGGGCAAATACCATTCACTCAGAGCCTGGGTTTCCTTATCTGTACCATGAGAATCATATTAATAATAGTCCCAACCACTTCACTGGTTGTGAAGATCAGTAAAGATCATGCCTGCAAGAGGAATTTAGTTAGAGTAGGTGAGTAAAGAAGAATGAAGAGGCTGTGAAATTAGACTTAAACAATGGTGCTAGTTTGTCTATGCCTCTGGTAATTTATAGATGTATTGAACTAATTTTTTTGAATAGCCAGGTTTTTTTTCTTTTAAGATAGTTCTCTTTATTGATAAGAGTTTTTATTTTCTCATACCTCAGCATTGTGTCTTCGATTGTTTACTGATTGTTTTGAGTGACTCTGCTTATATACTATACTGGATTTGTCCTCCATTGGTGAAGCATAGTTGCCTTATGGTAGATAAGAATCAGATAACACTTAAAATTTCACAGTTGTGAGCTTTTATTTGTCCTATAGATTGTTCAAGAACATGGTTAAGTTATTGAGTTAAATTGATGGGCGTGCTTTCTTGAAATTAGAAATTTTTCTGTTTATAGCCCACATTTTGCTCTAGTTTTTATTCTCTATCAGCTGCTGTTTGCAAAGTACACTCATTTATCAAGGGAGAAAGTGAAAAGAAAGGTGACCCAATTTCTTATTCTTGAAAAGGAATATCCCTAAGTTATTAACATAATGCCATTGCATTTAATTGCTGCAAAAATTTAATTATAATTCAAAAAAAATTTTAAGGTGGGATATTTCATTTATGAGAAGAGTTGATAAAGGCTTAAAATAATACCTAAAAAGAAGTCAGTGAGTTACGACTTCCACACAATAACAAGATCTTGAAGACAATTTGCTTTGAATTTATAACACTGGTAACATTTTAGAACAAAGAAAGTAGGATATAGCAGAACTGGAATTAACATGTATTGCTAATCTAAAGGGCACTTTAAAATTTTGAGCCAGCTATTTTATTTCAGAGCAGTTTATTCTTCAGGAGTTTAATTCTTAGCTTTTAATACTCAAGGTTGAAATAGGAGAGAAGTTTATTAAATCTAAAACGTTTTATCCTGGACTGGGTGGAGGATAGATTGCCTCTTAAATTCCTACTGGGAAGACTTTCTGGCAAGAAAAGGCAAATATAAGAAGTGTTTTTGAATCTTGTAAATTTTAAATACACACACTCCCCTATCTTCATAAAGCAGCATTTTATGCTCTTTTAAGATATTCTTCATAGATCATACCTTTTATCTTATCAACAGATAATGGAAAAACCAGCTCAGATATTGGGTAGCTTATAATTCGTTTTATAGTGTTTGGAAATGTAGCTCCTTTCTGAGTAGATGTTACATCTTGATGTTAGTGTAGAATTGAAAGTTGTAGTTTTGTTTATGTGTTTGTTTTTAAAAGAAAAATTAGTATGATTTTTAGAAGCCATTATCTATCCATTCTGACTTTGTTGTGGATATGGGAGTACTGTTATGAATGAAATTTAAACTTCCTTTCAGAATGATATATTTTGTAGTTGAAAACAATTTTTTCTGAGAAAGGATCATACACTGGCCCACATATAAGGGAGAATATAGTATAAATAATCAACTTTTGGCATTCTGGAAACTTGTACCAGTAGGGTTATTATAAGGACTAATGCAGGCAGCAGGAAAAATCCTTACTGTGTTTAATCAACAGCTCTTTGAAATTTTCTTTTCCGTAATAATTATATTGACAGATATTCATCTGGACTAATTTTTTTTTATTTTTAAAATTTTTTTTATACATATCTGTGTGGTGCAACATCGAACATCATTGCAACATGTGCAGTGTTGTTCACATATGTGAACAATAGTGTGCAACATGGATGTTCAAATCAGGACAGTCAGCAACATCTACCATTACACAATGTAGTCAATCCTCATGGCCCCCCCTAAGAGCTCCTCCCCGCCCCCCCACCCCTGGCAATCCCAGCTCTGTTCTCCTCTCCCAAAAAATCTGAACTGATTTCTGACACTAAGCCATATCTGTGGTTGGCTGAACATTAAGCAGTTTAGAAATACATATTTTTATTTTATAACTCTACCAAGAATTTAATTATTTAAGGGAGGTATCAAATATAGAGTAACTATGACCAGTAATTTCATTCCTAGCTATATAACCAAAAAAGTAAAAACAGCTGCCCACACTAAAACTGTACACAGATAATCATACTATTCATTATAGCAAAAAGCAAAAGGAAGTGTCCAGTTGATCACTAGATTAGCAAAATGTGTATATCATGCAGTAGAATGTTATTCATCAATAGAAAGGAATGAAGTAGTGAAACCTGCTATAACATGGATGAACCTTGAAAACATGCTAAGTCGAAGCCAGTCACAAAGGACCACGTGTTATATGATTTCATTTATATGAAATGTCCAGCATAGACAAATCAATAGAGATAGAAAGTAGATTAGTAGTTACGTCAGGGTGGGGGGCATAGGAAAATGGAGGGGGGTGACTGCTAAAGGGTACATTCTTTTTGGTGTGATGAAAATGTTCTAAAATTGATTATGGTAATGGTTATACAACTCTGTGACTATACCTGAAACCATTGAATTGTACACTTTAAATGTGTGATTTGTGTGGTATATGAATTGTATCTCAATAAAGCTGTTATCAAAAAAATTAATAAAGGGAGGTGTTCTTAGCTGCTTTTCTCTCACTGGATTTCTCATAACTTGTTTTTAGAGTTATACATATTATGTTGTTTATAACTATCATAGAAAATGTTACCTAACTTTCTATATAATTATGCAGAATTACCAAAGGTATTTTTATGATTTGTTGACTTCTTACTATCACCACCCCCCTTGTTTCCTACGTAGGGCCAAACAGCCTTTGATGTAGCAGATGAAGACATTTTAGGATATTTAGAAGAGTTGCAAAAGAAACAAAATCTGGTATGTCTTAAGACTGTCTAAAAATTACCTATATTAGTGAATTCTTCTAATAGCTTTGAATTTCAGACAGTTAAATTATTCTTATGATGTTTTGTACTTTTTGGTTTTAAGTTATTCCTAGCAAACTAAATGATAGTGAAAGGCAATGAAGGGATGGTGGTGATGTTTAGCCTTTTGTGTTGCTTATCCCCACTTCTATTTCCTCCGATTCACAAAATGCATACTTATATAATGCATATGTTCTCAAGAATAACATGTTTTTGTAATTTCATAAGAAAGTTTGCTTAAAAGGTGGAGACTATAAAATGTCAGATTTCTTATTAGAAAATAACAGGCCCTAGATAAGCAAGGAGTTGTATAACTAGGAAGCAGATTTTTAAGTAAAATAAGTCATCCTAAGTGGCTAGTGGACCTTGACTTTTTCAATAAGCCAAAGTTGGAGGAATGTAAAAAATTTGACTTAGTTCTGCATGGAGCTTTTTAATTGTCTAGTATTTTTCATTCTTTGTCCAAGCCCTTTCCTGTTTTTTTTTTTTATCATTTTTGTTTAGTGTTTGAAAAACTACTTTGTTATTATTTTAAACTCTGTATTTTACTAATTAATATTATTTTAATAATATTCTCATTTTTCTTTGCATAACTTTGTATAAAGCTTCATAGTGAAAAACGGGATAAGAAGTCTCCACTAATTGAGTCAACAGCAAACATGGACAATAATCAGTCACAGAAGACCTTTAAAAAGTAAGTAAAATGCTAGACTAGGTTTTGTTAATTCTATGAATGAGTTGGCATAATGGCAACAGGCATGATTATGGTGAATCTGGGAAAAACAAATGTATTTTAGTCTTTTGTGTTTATAATCATTTGAAGGCTATTTTCCTTTCACAGCAAAGAAACGTTGATTATTGAACCAGAGAAAAATGCGTCCCGTATTGAATCTCTGGAACAAGAAAAGGTTGACGAAGAAGAAGAAGGAAAGAAAGATGAATCTAGCTGCTCTAGTGAAGAAGATGAGGAAGATGACTCAGAGTCAGAAGCTGAAACAGGTAAAATTTGAAGGATAAATGAATTTTCATTGAATTTTGTTCCAGCATAAAGTTAGTCAAGATCAGGCTTAATTTTAAAACTTTCCAGACCATTTTGCTGCTTGTTCAGATAGCTGACAAGCCAGTAAATTATCTTTCAGTGAATATTAGAAACTTACATACGGTTGTGAATTTATTATTCTCTAATTATCTGGAGACTCTTGTTCACCTCTGTATTTTGGCAACCTATATTTTTGATTTGAAGAAGTTGCAGAGGCTTCTAAGACTCTCTTAGGATGGTACAGATAGGGCGTGAATGGTTTCTCAGCAATTCAAGAATGTTCTTGCTGCTTTCTGATAGTCCTAGCAGCATCCCAAATTTTCCCTAAGAAATAGTGAGGTAGGGACTGAATCAATATACTTTCCTGTGAGGATGTGGGGGAATTCGCTTTGTTTTGAGAAATTTTAAAGACACAGAAAAGCAGTACATTTTTATAATTTTTTATCTTATATGTACATTCATAAGTAATATATAGCAATTCTAATAAATGCATCCATTTCCCTTCTGGTGAACATTTACTTTATTTCCAATTTTTTGTTGTTTCAAATAATGCCACAGTGATCATGTTTTCTATTTATATTTGCAAGAGATTCTCTAGTGGACTTAGAAATTGAATTATTGAATCATAGTATACATGTATTTTCATTTTTAATAGGTGCTGCCAGGGCCGGCCCGGTGGCGCACTGTAGCAGTGCGCTGCTTGGGAGCGCGGCGGCGCTCTCGCTGAGGGTTCGGATCCCACATACAGACCGGTTCCCGCTCACTGGCTGAGCGAGGTGCGGAGGCGGCACCGAGGGTTGCGATCCCGTTGCCGTTGCCGGTCCCGGTCCGGTACAGGGCGCGACACTGAGGGTTGCAATCCGTTGCCGGACATGAAAAAAGACAAAAAAAAAAAAAAAAATAGGTGCTGCCAAATTGCTTTACAAAGTCGCTATCACAATTTACATTTCTTTTTAATGTCAGGGATATGGTTTCTGTGGGGTTTTTCCCCCCTCTAGCCGGCCTGTTTTTATAGATTTTGTTTACCTAGTTGCTTGTATTAAATAACATTTATTTTCTTAATCTGTGTCTGTTAATCACTCAAATCTTTTGAATGGCATGAGATACCAGTATTGCCATCTTTGAATTGTATAACCTGACATTTTAAAATATAAATTTATGAGTAGAATATATTGCACTTCCATTAAGATTTTTGGTCAATGAGAAAACTCATCATTATCAGGAGCAGTTTGGTGGTCATTGGTAAACACAAATGGAACCCTAGAATTTCTTGGAATTTCTATATTTCCTCTAGACACAACAGCATCACTTTGCATCATTTTGTTTTTACTCACTTAGCAAAATATTTCCTCTAAGAAAATGTGAGAAACTAAGGTTTACTAAATAAATACATGTCAAGGAACATATCGATAATTGTTTCCCATTAAACAAGATGTTAAACAGATGTTGGCTACCCTTGTTGCCTAGCTGATGTGTTTGGATTCTTTTATTTTCTAGAAGCTTAGTAATCTAAGACATAAATTATTTTTCTGTAATACACAGAGTTTGTGAAATTTGTAGATGGCTAGGTCCCTAGTCACTAGGGGGTTTAAATTTTTCTTCATTGCTGTCACATTGTTGGTCACGTGACTCAACATATTCTTTGCCTTGGTGAGATATGGGTAAAATTGGAAGCTAAAGCAATAGGTAGTCATTGAATGTTATATTTATATAACATGCTAATTAAAATATTTCTAATTATAAAAACAAATTATGTGGGAATCAACATATATAGTGTTTTAAGAACATGGTCTGGTTCATAAATATATGTGTGGGTAATTTATTTAATCTTAGATTTCTCATCTGTAAAATCAGGATAATAACTGCTTTCTATGGACACTATATAACAGTCAATTGCTTTGTAATAAATGTTGGCTTCATATAATATTTGTATAAAATTAAACTACTAAGTTAAATGTGATCAACATACATGCTTTCTAATTTCATTTCAGTTAAATTTGTACTGTTTTCCTTGTGCATTTTGCAGAAATTGAAAGATGAAATAATGTCATTGATATTTAAATTGACCCAGATACTTTTGCAGCTATTTAAAGTTATTTTTATGTAATTAATTTCCTCCCTGAAAGACATGCCTTGGCTTCCAGTCAGTAGTAAAGTATACTATTACAAATCAAACCATATGCACATGTGCACAAGAAAGCTAGGACTAGCACCCAGATCTCTTAACTCACATGTTGAGTATTTTTTAAAGTTTTTGTTATCTAATTTTTTTAATTGGCCATTGTATACAATTCACTTTCAATGTTTTGTACTGGGGAGCAATTTAAAACAAACAAAAGACTTTAATTTTAAGCCAGTTTTGCTGCTAACTAGCAAATCTTCTGATGTCTTTTCCTTGTTGATGAAATTTCCTTGATCATGAAATGAGAAGAATTGTACTATATGATTTGGATATTTCTTACACTCTACTATTCTATAAATATAATTATCATTAAATTACATCTTATTAGTTCCCTGTTTGGAATTTAAGCATATCTCTGCTCAGTTTTTCACTGAGCTAACTTTGAATGTTCCTCTGAAGCATTGTACTATGATAATTTTGTTCTTCTTGTTTCTAGTGGTCAGTTGTGCAAGGAGAGAATTTGGCTCTATTTCAAGAATTAATCCATATAAATGCTGTGTGGTTCCTTCTTTCTCACTCTTTTAATATCAACCAAGCTTTATTTGGCAAGCTTGAGAAAGCAGCCATCTCCCTGTAGAGTTACAGCTTGTTTTGACAATTTTTTTTTTTTTCCTTTTTGTCTTTTTTCATGTCCGGCAACAGATCACAACCCTCAGTGTCGCGCCGGTCTGTATGTGGGATCCGAACCCTCGGTGGGAGCACCGCCGCGCTCCCAAGCGGCGCACTATAGCAGTGCGCCACCGGGCCGGCCCTTGTTTTGACAATTTTTAAACTGTTTTTTTTTTCCTGCTTTTTGTAAGGTTATTTCCTTAGGAAACTGTTTGACATAAAATAACTATTTTTCTGAGTTTCTTTCATAAATTATTTACCAAACCAGTTTTTCTTCAATGTTCTTTCTCCTCATAAACTAGATGAAAATAGGAACACAACCAAAAGTTTTAAATGCCACCTAAATGATTTATAAATTTGAGGGGTAGTTGAGGAAATGAGAAAGGGGAAGTATATTTTTGCTTTTAGGGTTTCTTTTCCTCTTTGTTGAAATCAAACGGATAGAAGAGCTTCAGCAGTATTGATAATGTTTACTTAATAAGCTGAATGGTGCTACATGGGGTTTATTTATCTTGTTCATTATTTATTTTGCCTACTGTACTGTAAGTCCCATACAGTTAAGGCATTTTGTGTTTTCATTGGCTGATATATCTCTAGTACCTAGGGCAGTATTTCATAAATATTTGTTGAATGACTCTCTTCACAGTTAGGTGGATTATTTTCCGAGAAGATGGTGTCGTACCCATTTAACTTTAGACTTTTTTGGAATGGGAAGGCATGCTCTTGGGGACATTTAACCATACTGTTTGACAAAAATATAAGCTGATAACTGACAAAAGCACTTTTAGATTTCCTGGAATAAAGAGGAGCAAAATCAGATTTAGATTAGCAATAATAGTTTATCCATTAGAAAATTACATAGCTATTGTAATTTTGAAAGTTACATTGCACTCATGCATTCAAGTTTTAAATCTTAAATAAAATTTAAAAAAATTTTTTTTAGTTTGAAAAGTATTGAAGTCAGGTTCTATTTGTGCTTTTTATTCTCAAAAGCTTTGTTGTATGTCTTTCAAGTTGTTTTAACTGCTTTCTTTAGCATACATATTGACACATTTCTAGAAACTCTTTGAAAAATCCATTTGTGAAAAGAAATAGTAATGCGGAAAGGCTCTTAATTAACAAACCTTAAACAAAAATATAGTATAAAATTTTTTATAAAATATAAAAATAGGATATAAAATAAAGTATAAAATTTCCCAGCTATTGAAACCAAATTTCTGTAGAATCTTGATTCTTAAGATTTTTTTTTGTTTTTAATAGAGAAGACAAAATCCATGGCTTCTGTAACTACTGTCAACACTTCTAGTACACAAGCAGCTCCTGTAGCTGTTACAACACCTACTGTGTCATCAAGTCAGGCAACACCTACATCACCTATTAAAAAGGTAAGCCAAAGTTTTGTTTACTGAAAATACATATATTCTGTTTAAGTACCATTTGGACTAACTCATTAAAACGGTTCTGAATTTTTATGCTTTATTCCAAAAATACTTAAGGTTTTAGAATAAAAGTATATTTTTTTGTTTTTAATTTGAGATTTCCTCTGAACCACGTTGTAGTCTTTTTTGTTTTTTGGATCCTTTTTGCAACTGATATTACAGTTGATATTATAGTTGACAGTTAACAAATATTACAGTTGATAGTTAAAAATAAATAGAAAGATAAGAATATTCATAATATTAAAACCAATGATCATGGTAGTTTTTACTTCTCTGGAACTTGTATTTTGAGAACTGAGGTTTTATATTCTTTATCTTTGTTAAGTAGAAATACATGTTGAAACTTTCACACATGGATAAATAAGGCACAAAAAGTACTACCACAAGTCAATGAGAAAACTGAAATCTAGATTTCCTAACTTACAGTACAAAGCACTAGGCATGCAACTATGATGTGCCTGTTAGAACATTGTTTCAGAGGTCAGACAAACCAGAGACTAGCTCCTGACTCCACCTCTTATAAGTTGTTATGACCTTGAGCAAGTTATAAACACTTTCCTTCTCCCTTCTACTCTAGGATCTGTCCTTTTAACCCAAATTAAAGATCAAACTTTTTTGGTTTTTTTAAACCCAGTGGTCTTTTTTTAAAAGGATTTTCCTCACCACCTCTTACTACCTAAAGAGCATACTCATTTCCTTCTCTGTACACACACACATAGACACACTTTTTTTCCCCAAGCCATTTAAGAAGTGATAGCAATCATTATAATACTTTCCCCCTGAATATGCCAGTATGTATATCCTAAGGTCAAAGACGTTATCCCTCATTCTCATAATAAAATAATCATATTTAGGAAATTTAACCTTGACACAGTACTGTTACATATGTTAATGAATATACATACTCAGGTCTTCCTAGTTGTCCTTTAATAATGTCTTTTCTAGCTGTTTGTTTTTTCAAGTCAAGGGTCCATTCAAAGATTGCACATTGTGTTTAGTTATCATGTCTCTGCCTTTGGACTTCTTTTGTTGCTTGTCTGACATTATTTGGTTTGCATGGGTTTGAGGACTGATTTTAAATCCCTGTAGTGTTTCCATTATGTGGTCAGTCTTGCCGATCTTTGGATTTGGCGCTGAAGGTGGTCAAAATCTATATCTTTTCATTTGCTTATTTATTTTATTTTTTAAATCAGGGCTTGCTGGTACAGGGATCTGAACCCGTGACCTTGGTGTTACTAGAAATCTAAATCTTTTAAAAATCATAAACTAGAGAATTTTTTAAAAATTCATTCTGTTAGTAATAATCCTCCTTTAAAACTTTTCTGAAGGAAAGCAGTAATGTAAATTCTTAGTGGTAGAAGTGTATGGTCTTCACTGGTATGAGGATATTTCAAAAAGTTTGTGAAAAGATATAATTAAAAGATAGTACAAATCTTTCTGTGAACTTTTTGAAGACCCCTTCATACATAGTTTGAATATCAAGAAACTATATGAATGAGTTATTTTACCTTCGATGTTCTGCAATTAAGGGCTTCTTGAATTGAGTTAGTACCCCGTGTTCATATGATCATAATTACATATGCTTTAGTATGAAATTCTCTAAAAGCAGTAGGCAGAATTTTGAAGGCTGTTATGCTATAACTAGCATCACCATGAATGATGTTAACTAAAGTTTATTTTACTTCTAGAACCTCATGTATTTCTTCACTGAATACTAAATTTGTGCCTGCATCTTATCTCTTTTGATTTATCGTCTGTTAGAACTATAGGATTATCAAAAATTCCCAGAAACTCCATCTCCCTAGAATATCTGGACAAAAAGCTGGCTACCTTTCTTTTGGATATTTGGCTAAGCAATCTCCTTCTTACTATAGTCAAATAATTACAGTAGACTTCTTGTGTTCAACCCTCTTTTTCTGAAGTATAGCCCCAGATTTATGGCAGTTTACTGCTCGATTTATACCTAATGTCCTAACTGCAAGTTAATACTTTATACCTCTGTTAGCTTAATGGGCCAGTAATTTCTTTACTGTAAAAATTCTATTGAAAATCACTTTTGATTCTGTAGTTAAATTGATCTAATGACAACCATCTGTTTCTATAATTTGTATATTTAGTAGCTACATTTTCTCAATTTCAAGCATCATAACTTATCTTGAATGTTGTACTGTATCTGCCTTTGTTCTTAAGGTTTTGTAACAAGATTTTATTCAAAGCAATAAAGTTATGATGTGCTAAAAATTTGAAATATTTTTAATGTGCAGGGGAGTCTTCTTATCAGTATTGTATGACTGAAAACCTGTTATTATATTCAGTCTTATTTATATTCCTTTATTTATCATTTTAGTGTTTTGAGGTTTTTTTTAAGTTTTTTCAAGATTCTACTGATAATTCTGACTGTTGTGCCCAGGGCTTCTCCCCTGGCCCACTCCTTTGTCCTCTGCATTTGAGGTAGAGAATTTAGAGAGCCTTCCAACTCATATATGATTTAGACAGAGAAATACTAAAGAATGTAATAAATATATATGTTTACAAGCCTATATTTTTGTGCTTATTTATCAATAAAAGTTATTACATGTAGGAAAAAAACTTCAGAGACTTACAGATACAAGTTTTCTTAAACAAATTGTTAATTTGTAAATGCATCTTAAAAGATTTTGTAATTAAGAGTTCTATTTTTAGGTTCCAAGTTGCTACTCTGCTTTTAATATTTAGACAAGGTTACGTTAAGTTCTCCAGTTTCCTTCAGCAGTGCATAAAATGTATGTGTGTGTGTGTGTGTGTACACGCGCGTGCATGCGTGAACATGGCAAGGAATAGATCTCCAAAAAGGAAACACACAGAACAGTATTAAATGTCACGTATTTTCTATTAATAACAGGGTGGCTATAGTGAAAAGTTGGATATGTTCATTTTAAACGATCCTTAAGTTCTGAACTCTTCAGCTAAAATTAAAGAACCGTTTCTTTAACAATAAGATCAAACCAACAATTTGGGGAGATGTTACCTGTAAAACCATCAGTTTGATTTTATGCTTTAAATTGTTAACTAGCAATAAGTTTATATAACTCTCTCTAGTCAAATAAATATTGTTGAGATCTCTAAAACAGATTACTTATTCTGCTCTATGGATATACATTCCAATAAAATATAAACTATATTTTCTTTACTAGATGATAAGAATTCAGAATTTTCTTGGAATTAAATGTTCTCATTAATCGACTCCAATTTAATAACCTTAATAATAATTTAGCAAAAGACTTATGTTCTGTAGGTATATGAAGTATGCCAATAAAAGTGTACAGATGTAGCATGATAGGTTAAAAGTGGGAGAAATTATTTTGATTTGAGGATACAGGATCAAAATATTTGAGATAGATCTTGAAGAATCAGTGGGTAGTATTTCAACTGAGAAGGTTTTGTACAATTTTTTGAATGGGAGAGAAGAGAAACAATGTGAGCGAGTAGGGATAATATGGAGTATTTTGTAGGAAAAAAATTAATTGTTCAGTTTGATTGATATATAGGGTACATATATGCAAAGTAAAACAGGGAAAGTAGAGCCAGATTGTGAATGTCTTCATTTATAGGGTAATATTTCTATAATTTATTTGATCAGTACTAGAGAATAATGGAAGATGTTTGAAACATGAAACAAGAAGATTATTCTTTATAGAATATTACTGTGGCAGCACTGTACAGGTATATGTGAAGATGAGAGACTATTTGATAAAAGGTTTATTATAAAATAATTGAAGTTGCCTGTGATAGTAAAAATATGAACTAAGGAAGTGGCTATGAGCTTATAAAGAGAGGAGGAGGTTTAGAGACATGGCACCTAATTTAAGGATGGAGGAAGATGATAGAGAAGTCTAACTAATATGGTTGTGAAGTTTCAAATATAGGGGATTGAAGAAATATCATTAGTGTCATTAACAGAAATAGGAAACTGAGGAAGAGTTGGTTGGGAGATAAAAGGTGTTTGATTTTAGACATGTTGAGCTTCAAGTTCCAATTACAGTTCTAGATAATCTGTTCTACAGGTAAATAGAAATTCAGGGCTGGGAATTTAGAAGTCAGGCTGGATTGGAGAATAACAAATTTTGAGAATAAGCTGAATACAGTTAATATTTAGCCTGAGGAAAAAGAGAAGCCCCTACTCCCATCTCCAGGAGAAGAAAGTGGAAAGAGAAGATAGGAGATCTGAGAGCAGACTCTTAGAGTGCTTATTGTTGCAGGGCCACAAAAAGAAAATAAAGAAAAGCCAAGAAAAGAAGTGGTCAGAAGAATAGGAAAGTCAAGACAGTGTCTTTTTATAAAAGCAAAAGAAGAGCGTTTTCAGGGAGGAGGTATATTAAGTATTTCAGAAAGATTTATTTATACACCAAGGTACTTTTAAACATATAAATCAGTTCTTAAATCCAAATTCATGTTAGACAGAGTAGAGGTATATCTGCCATTGCAGTGCAACAAATGCACATTTCAAAACTGTTATTACTGCCTTATTTTTCTCAATTCTAAAATAATGGTAATAATAATATTTCATTGGGAGGTTGTAGGGTTAAATGAAATAACCCATGTGAAACACTTAGCCATACACTAGTAAACATTTGTTAAATGTTAGCTTCTGTTGTAACATTCAGTAAATGTTATCTGTTATCTGGCTATTTTATCATTGAGGAAAAACATTTGTTTCCAGTTTTTGTAGGGAAGAGAGTCTGAGGCATGGTTGACAAACTATGACTGGTGGATCAAACCTAGCCACCTACCTGTTTTTGTACTATCCATAATCTAAGAATAGTTTTAACATTTTTAATGGTTGGAGAAAAACATGAAAAGACTATTTTGTGACACAAATTCAAATTTCATTGTAAATAAAGTTTTATCGGAACACAGCCACATTCCTTCGTTTATGTACTATTATCTATGTCTATAAAGCCTAAATTTATAGTTTAGCTCTTTAAACTCAGAAATCAATATGCAGTTGTCTCAGTACCTATCATATTGTATAGAATATTACAGAGGACCCAAAATTTCTTGATCAACAGAGCCCCTAGTGTTTTATTTATTACAGTAGTTTTTTTTTCCATGGTGCCACTTGGCCAAAAGAAATACCTGTCTGTTTCATTTATTAAGTAGTTAGGTACAAATAAGTTAATAATAGCAGTGTCCAAGAGGTGTCTGTGCTTCTCTCAAAACTTTAAAATATTCCACAGAGCCCCTATGATTTTGTTGTGGTACCTTGGTGTACTTCTGTGCAAATTTGGGAACTGAGGAATGCTTAGATCCAATTGATAAAAATTAATTACGAGAAATACCAGAGGTGTCTTATAACTGTTTTGTTTATGAAGTGGCCCTTGAGTGTCATGGGAGCTTTAACAAGCTCTCTTAACCTGCTAATTACAGCAAACTTTGGCAATAAGTATGAAAGAAAGGACTTTTTGAAAATTAAAAAACAATTATCAATACCCTAATTCTTGTAGCAACTAATTAGTTGTTATATTCACCAATCTGTATGAACTTCAAAAACTTGTGGAAAAATAGAATCTTTCCATGAATTTTTTGAAGTACCCTTGTATTTAACTGTGGTTGAATATTTAAATTCTGGAAGTAGAGGTAGTGAAGTAAACTAGTTTGAAATGAAAGATGTTACATTTTTAGGAAAGAATAGGAAAAATGTAATAAATATTTGTACATAAAAATAGTTTTTAATTTAAAGGTTTAATATTTGGTGGGAAAATCAAACAGTAAATTTAAGGCTGTGATAGTAAAAATATTATTGAATTAACTATTATAATTAGAAAATATCAGTTTTAGTTTTTTGTTGATTATGTTGGATTTAAATTTTTTTAACCAGCAAATATAAATGGATAAAGACAAAATTCATATGCAGTAGGTTGTTCACTCACATGGTACATTATCCACTCAGTGTGCCTTTAACAGCTTTAGAAATTTCTTAATTAGATTCTTTCAGATATTTCATGCTAAAGCTAGAACTTATTCCCATTGACTTGTAAAGATTGAGTCATTACCCAATTATTGGGCTTACTTTATTATAAAATTCTTATAAAAAGAAAAAAAGTATTTTTTGCTCTTAACTTCCCTTTTCTGTTTTCATGCTTTCGATCTTTATCTGTTTACCTGTCTTATTTTAATTGGCTTTAGTATGATTTCATTGCTCCTATCATGCCTGTGGTGGAATCAGTAGATCCTGCATCATGGAGGCAGGGCTTGCGCAAAACTGGCATTGTTCTTGTGCCCAATAAGGGTGAAAAATCTATGGTGAGGCATTTCTATGTGCAAGAATTTATATTAGGTTACAACATAACAAGTTTAATATAAATATTGGTTCCAAAGATGCATGATTTTAAGTCCTTACAGTGTGCTCATTCCTTTTTTCTTTATTTGCATCATAATTTTTCTGTGTGATATAAAGTGTGTAGTGTGATTTTTAAATCTAACCTCTGGAAAGGTAGTCTATTCCTTTATCAGTTTTAGATTTTTTTTTTTTCTTTTTTTAAGATCTTTACATTTTTGACTAAGACATTAACCTACTTAAAGTGTTTTTCTCCTGAAACTATTAACTACAGTTTTAGACATTATTTGTAAATTTACTGTTTCCAACTTAAGGACTGATCAGTTTCAATAATTCTTTTTTCTTTTTCTTAAAAAATGAAATAAAAAAGTTTCCAACCTCAACTACAAAAATTTCTCCCAAAGAAGAAGAGAGAAAAGACGAGTCTCCTGCATCTTGGAGGTTAGGCCTTAGAAAGACTGGCAGTTATGGTGCGCTTGCTGAAATCACAGCATCTAAAGAGGCTCAGAGAGAAAAAGACATGGCAGGTGTTATGCGTTCAGCTTCAAGTCCCAGACTTTCATCCTCTTTGGATAATAAAGAAAAGGTAATCTATTTTACAATATTGTTTCTATAAAAATTTATAATAATTTCTTTTTCAGGAACTTCAAATCTGGTGGATTTTCTACTAGGTATCTTTAGATCTAGGTATCACCTTAATTTACCTGACACTGAATTACATCATAATACAAATGTATCCACCTTAAACAAATACCTATAAAGAATTATAGGTATTGGAAGGATCGGATATATTTGCCCAAAACATAAATTATAGAACTATACTCAGTTAAAGGAATCCTTTATCCTACTTGAAAATCAATAAATTTTCAGAAGTTTAGGAACACATTTATTCTAGAATGTGAGTATATTCGTAAGTTAAATTTATCCAGTTTCTGCAATATTTTTTAACAGCTTTTTTATCTGATGTATTATGAACAACTTTGTCTTAATAGTTTTAATAGTTATATTTTGAGAGGGAGTATTAATATTGCATCAAATAGAATGTACCACAGTACATTCAATGCTGTTTTATATAGTTAAATGATGTATTTCTCTTACATTTTTAGTTCTTGGATTATTATTTTTTCCATATAGTTTTCTTCCTCTATTTAGGAGTGTTTCCTTGTATTAGAAATTCAGGGGTGGAATTTCTCATCAAGTAATTTTAGTATTTTTGCTTTTCTGTTAATTTATTGCCTAATTGTTGGAATGTATCAGTGTCATTGTCACTACACACTCTCAACTATATTTGGATAAATATAATTTCAATAATTTTCATTTTGATTATTTTAACGTAATTTAAAGCATAGACTATCAAGGTTGTGAATAGCTTGTATAACATAAATGCTTGAGACTTCTCAGTGAACCATATTTGAGACCTTATTTCTTCCAGAGAGAAATACAAGGATATTTTAGCTTATGACTTTAATCTGATATAGAAGTTTAGAAAAAGTCATTAAAATGTGGAGGAATTTTTCTTCCTTTCTCATGTTAAAATATCTAATTCCATTCTAAAGGAGAAAGAAAAAATTAGTTTGTCCTTTAGTGCTTGTGTAGTACCTGATTGTTAATAGACATCAATTTTAGAGTTTAGCTGGGAATTACGGGAATGCTATAAATTGTGATTACTATGTAATTATACATTGTTGAATAACCTTTTCTTAATACTTTTAGCAAAGCCTGTAATCACACAAATTTATTTTCACTCATTTTTTTTTCCTGTGGTGCAGGAGAAAGATAGTAAAGGAACTAGGCTCGCATATGTGGCACCTACAATACCAAGACGACTAGCCAGTACATCTGACATTGAAGAGAAAGAAAACAGGTGAAGTCATTATGATTTGCTTTATGCATTCATTATAAAATCTTTATTATCTGGCATCAGAGTAAATACATGAGCACTGTTGTAATTACGTGAGAGTAATTATGGATTGCGGAAGAGATGGAAGGTATTCCTGATAGAGAGAACGCCAAGTATGACATGGTACTGAGGACGTGCAGGCTTGGTACGTTCATGAAATAGCAAAGGAGGTGTTATGGCAGGGACAGAGTGAGGGAAAAATGATAGGAGATGAGGTCACAAACGAGTACAAGTTCAAATATTTGGAACATTTAGAAAAGGGGAAAGTAGGGAGGAAAAGTCTTTACTTAGTGTCAGCATTATATTTGTAATCATGTTATATCCAATTGTGTCTTGATTTTTTTAACTTAACATTTCATCAGTGGTCTTACACGTTAATACATGTTTTCAGTAAGCATTATTTTTCACCAGTACATACCATTCCATAGAGCAGATCTGCTCAGGTTAAAGTAATCAACTCCCCTCCCCATGCTATGGACATTTAAATTATCTAATATTTTGTGATCATAAGTAACATTTTTGTAAATGCCTTATCTATTCCCCTATATTTAGGACTGTACCTTAGGGATAGAGCCTTGGCCTTACTCTCACTTATTGATAAATATTCGAAAATATTTTCCCAAGAAATTTTACTAGTTCCTACTTCTATTAATATTTATTAGTATACAGCTTTCTCAACCCTATTTTAAAATTATCTGCCAGAATCTGAAGGATGTTCTTTTCACAGAGACTCTTCAAGTTTGCGAACAAGTAGTTCTTATACAAGAAGAAAATGGGAAGATGATCTTAAAAAAAATAGCTCAGTTAATGAAGGATCAACTTATCATAAAAGGTAATATAATTCTTAAGTGGCTTTTATGTATTCTTTTATAAAAATATGAGACAAATTTGTGGAGCCCTCAATTTAATATCATTTAAGCAAATGATGTGCTTTTATTAAATATCATGTCTTTTGTTGTTTAATTCAACTTGATTTAAAGACATAGAATATATATTTAAAAATGGGTGATGATTGCCTTTTACTTATACCTTTCTATTATATATTTATTTAAACTTCATATATTATGAAGTATCTTTTAGATTCTAGCATATTTAAAAGGACCTCCTTACATAATTGACTAGAACAACTGAAATAGGCCAGTGTCTTAATGATCTGGTCGTCATTTGTGATCTGGAAAGTTTCTGCTTGTCCTAGAATTCAGAGCTATGGGAATGCCTTCAGTTGGGATGTTGGTAATATATTGGAGAGGAAAAAACTGTAAGTTATTTCTGTACTAACAAGAGTAAGATATGAACAAGTATAATGTGGGTATGGGTCACTCCTAGGGATCTGACCCATTGCTGAAGCAATTTTCTTCAAAATGTCAACTTCTCACTTTTCCTAGATAAAACTAAACCAAAGTGTTTTTATCAGGCCCAGCCTGGTATGACCATATCGTTTGCAGTAGTTCCAGAAATGTGAAAGATCAGATCATCTTTGAGTATTATTGATGGGGTTGGGAGGAGGCAATAAAACGATACACTACTAAATTAGTGAAATAATCGAAACTCTACCAAGTTGTAGATGCAACTCTTGGTGCTGGAGCTGGTGGTGTATTTAGAAACCCAGTTTTAGATTTTTGTCCTGGCCTTGTGAATTTGTATAATGTATAGACATTAACTATAGAATACACATACAGACACATCGTATATGGATATGACTCTTTTGTTTAGTTGCTCCTTTGGTAGAAGACACGATGATTTGATTAATTCTAGTGTTCCAAGCCCCACATCAACACCAACAGTTACCTCTGCAGCTGGGCTTCAGAAAAGCCTACTTTCCAGCACAAGCACTACTGCAAAGATTACAACGGGTTCTTCCTCAGCAGGCACACAAAGCAGGTAAGTTACAGATACATTTTGTGTTCAGGTCTACTGTGTGCTTATGTATGTGCATGCGTTTTTGTTTAGAAGATCATGGGGCTCTGGATTTTTTCATTTACCTTGTTAAAGTTATTTACAAACAAAATTGGTTCAAAAGAGAGGCAATTATGCATGACTGGGGAAAAAATTAAGTTCCTGATTTATGAACTTTCCTTGAGTTACACTGTTTAAAATGTAAATTTGTGTGTTTTGACATCTTTGGGTGAGATTTTTGGTTCATAGTTGAAAGATGTCTGACCTTGTGTTTTAAAAAAATCCATCCCTATAGTCACACGTTTTCAGCTGTTAGGAAGTGCTTTCATTGTTTAGCTGTTTTCCTTTTCTCTTTTTGTGTTGCTGCTTATGATACTGTAGTACCTCAAATCGTTTGTGGGCTGAGGATAGTACTGAAAAAGAAAAGGACAGTATTCCTACGGCAGTGACCATTCCTGTTGCTCCAACTGTTGTAAATGCTGCAGCTTCTACCACAACCCTGACTACAACTACTGCTGGCACTGTCTCCTCCACATCAGAGGTCAGGGAGAGACGCAGGTGTGTAAAGGTCCTAACAGTACTGCTGATATATCTTGCCCAGTGATGAAAGTTTTTTGTTTTTTTGCTTTTTGTTTTTTAATCTTGTGAAGTTGATGACCCTCTCTCCAGTGATAAATGAAATACTGTTATGTCAGCTCAGGACTCTGTAAATTTGATACAGCTAGCAATTATTAGTATTTAGGTTTGGTAACCCACCTCTGACAGAATGGATGTTTTTATTTAAAGGCAGTGAGCCAGACAGTTGTCTTCTAAATTAGCCATTTTAGGGTTTTTTAGTGGTTTTATTTCAAAACTTTTTTTCTGATGAAGACCTGAATACACACAAACACCCTCATGGGAAATTAGATGCAACATGACAAAAACAGGTTTCATCATTCTTCTCATTGTTTTTTCCCATTATTAAGAAATTTGATGGATATTAAACTGTTTTTGTCATTTTTGTGAATTTCATCTGAGGATTTTCTTGGTGAGGAAAGGCTTCTATGTGTGTGTAAGCCAAATAATTTTAAGTGTGTTGAATACTTTTATTTAGTTTTAGTTCTGGTACATAGAAAGCATTCATTAATTACATTTTTAAAAAGTCTATGAATTTATTTTGTGTGCTTAAATATATTTAAGAGCATCGCTCACTTCTTCCTGCTGTTCCCTATTGGTATGGAATCACAAATGTGGAAAGGAGCTTACTCATTATCTTTTGTGATATCCTTGCTTTACAGAAGGAAACCAAGACCCAGAGATATTATACGACTATTCCATTTTTGTATAGTTAATTAACGTGAGAGCTGAGGCTAGCCCTAAGAGGATCAGTCAGTTCTTTCTGCTGTGTCTTACCTGCATAGTCTCTAGCTTTGAATTTTGTTTTTTCTTCTTGAGAAAGAAGAAAATCTTAGGAAACTAACTGTAAGCTTTATTTTCGTCTTCTATTCTTGCAAAATTAAATTAGCTTTATAGTTATATTCTCCCTACTAAAATACCAACCTGATTAATTTTTATTTCTGTCACGTAGTGTTCATCATAGAGTCCTTTTTCTCTGGAGCATAGTGAAGTGCCTAACCTGTAGTAGTAGTGGTCTTATTTGTGCTTGAATATATGAAAAGTAACAAGTTATTTTTAAATATTTTCTTTCCTATTATTGCATATTTAGTTTTTGCCTGTATATTTAGGTTTTGTTCCTATTTTTATGGTGAAATTTGGTGATACTTCTGTAACACTACTGCAAACAGTTAGCATTTTGTGATTTTAATACCAATACAGGTCATAATACGAGGGTCTTCAAAAAGCTCATGGGAAGATTCATATTATCTTTTTTTTTTTTTTTTTTTTTCTTTTTGTCTTTTTTCGTGACTGGTAACGGGATCGCAACCCTCAGTGTTGCGCCCGCACCGCGCTCAACCAGTAAGCGGACCAGTCTTTATATGGGATCCGAACCCTCGGCGGGAGTGCCACCGCGCTCCCAAGCGCCGCACTCTACCGAGTGTGCCACCGGGCCGGCCCCATATTATCTTTTAATTCTGTTTTTCCACAAACTGGTCTGAGTTTCTTCTGTAAAGTTAAGTGTTTGATTTTTCATAATTTTTTTTTCCTTTTTTTTGTCTTTTTTACTGACGGGTAACGGGATCGCAACCCTTGGTGTTGCGCCCGCACCGCACTCAGCCAGTGAGCAGGAACCGGTCTCCACATGGGATCCGAACCCTCGGCGTGAGCGCCGCCGCACTCCCAAGCGGCGCACTCTCCAGTGCACCACTGGGCCGGCCCAATTTTTCATAATTTTTAACTCCTAGAATCCTTTCTATCTCTAGCATCCCATGCTTTTAAAAATTTCTCCAATGACAAAGGCTAATGCATATCATTTGTTTCAGTACAAATTATGATTCTTAATCTCAGATTTATTTTTTTAATTCTGTTGGAGAGAGTTGAATTTCAACTTTAATAATTAGTCCTAATTTAATAAAATACATTAAAGATTGAAAATTAAATATTTGGATATATTGTTAGGGCAACAGATTCTAATAGCATAAGAAAAAAACGTGTTTGGACATTTTTTTTTTGGTCTGTATTACAGAGAATTTGTCTTACCATCTTTCAGTGATGTTTGCAATACTGTTAATGTTTGTGTTTTGTTCCATGTGAAATAATTGTTTGCAATTTTTAATACATTGTTGGCCTCCTCTGTTTGTCTTTTAATTAAATTTCCATTAATGGTTTTGAAATGTATGTGGTTAAAAATTTGCCTAAAAAATATGTATATGATGATTTAAGAATATATTTTGGCTGAAAAAGATAAGTCAACACATTTATACCATTAGGTACTTTTAAATATGTTCTTTTGGGTATTATGTAAGGTTACCATGCACACTATTAAATTCCACAATGTTCATGAATTTTCCAGTTCCTGTTGATCAGGATTGTATCAGGAATTCTTGATTTTGTTAAGATTTCTAACGGATTAATTTTTGTTTGAGATTAAGAGAAGCAGCTAGCTTTAAATAGGTGCAGCATAATAGCAAATTTTTTCACTGTTCAAGTACTCATAATTCCCCATAGTCTTTTCAAAGTGTGAAACAGTAACTTACTAGTAACTTCATATTTACATGGAACTGCTGTTCTAGTATAGCTATTCTCTTGTACATTTTTCTTTGGCTCAGCCAGCTCCCATTAGCTTATTTTACCTTCCCTCTGGAAGGAAGAAAGCTGGGTGTGAAATAACAAGTGTTGGTATTTAGTTTTTTGAACATGTAATTTGGTTGACTAACCAAAATATAACTATAAATAAATATAAATATTTCAGCCAATAAATTCCATTGAAATATTGAAATGTTAAAATTATAGAATAATTGCATTTATTAGAAAATTCTTAATTTTAAAAAAAAACAACCTTTGGGTTGCTCAGAAATAGTAAGCAATCTAAGACTAAGGAATGAAATTATATACTGTGTGTAGTTATAAGAAAGATATATACTAGGACAGTATGATACAGCAATGATTTAAAACATTTTTTTATTAAAACATTGATTTTACATATTTATGGGTTTCAGAGTTATGTTTCAATACATGTACAGTGCATGATGATCTGTTCAGGGTAATTAGCATATTCATCATTGCAAAACTTAATCATTTCTTTGTGATGTCCACTGATATAGCAGTGATTAACGCAGCAGTGGGCTTTGGCTGGTATATCCATCTTTTTGATGATCAGCTCTTTGGAATTAAAAACAAATATATAAATTGTTTTTCCTCTCTATATCCTATTCTTAGGTGTATTCTCTAGATAGGCATCCCAAGGGAGGAAAAAGGGACCAAATATCATCAGTTGGTGACTATCAAATATAGGAAATGTTTTATTTACTACAAATTGATAGGCTAGATTTTTATGAGGCAAATGTTGTATGAAAAATAAAAATGAACAGATTTACAAGTCTTTCAGCTAGTAACATTTACCTCCTTAACCTGCATATGTTAAGCCAGGTATGATAAATAGGTTTATTAACTCTCATGGCAACTTGAAACTATATTGAAAAGGAATCCAGGTTTCTTAGAAGAGACTGTAATGGTTGATTAGTCCTCTTTGCCATGTAGAAAGAGTGAAGTGGTAATGCAAGTTTCTCTGTTCTAAACTAAATATGAAAAGTTTTACTATATAGAGTTGGAGCCAGAATTCAGTCGTTCATGTTCATTCTTACTTTCAGAGCAGCTTATGAAATGCTGAAGTGATACATGCACCCATTTGGCCTGCTATAAACTTTTTTGTTTAACCAGATTAGCTATCACATTTAGGTTTCATCTCCTTTTATTTTTTCTTCTCTTCATCTGCTAGAAGTACAAAAAGCAAAACATTGGATAGGACCCTACGTGCATAAATGAGAGTTCAACGAATGAATGAAAAAAAATAGCCAGTGGACCACATTTTCCAGGCTGATGTTCTTAGGAGCTGTTTTCCACATTTAATAGGTGTGCCACCAAAAAAAAAAGAAAAAGGAAAAAAGATTTTCTGCTTAAATGATCTTGGGAAATACTGGGTTAAACAGAGTTAAACAGGTTATTTCCCTCAGTACATATCAGACCTTTTAATATGTTGTGATTTTCATAGAGAAGTTTAGAATGTATAGCAGTTCCCAAATTTGTATAACCATTTGCTATAACAAACAAGTCTCTCTTATATCCCATTAGTGTTTCTTAAACTTGTGTAATAAGATTATTGGTTATTCTCTTCTTCCTTTTAAATTATCTGTCTTGGAAAACTCCTAATTGTTATCAAAACAGAAGGTATCTGTAACATCTTAATAAAACCCTTAAAATTCAAGAGAGTTGATATATAGACAGAATGAGAATTATAAAACTGTGGGGAAAAAGAGAAGTTTCAAGCTTCATGAAGAAAGGAAAGGCATGTTCTACCAATTGTACTCATTTGTATCTATGCATTGGTGTAGATGAAACCATATGTATCAGAATCTCAACTAAGAGAAAAGAAAAGCTGATAACCAAAATATTTTATTTATTGGATTTTTTCCCCTACCTTTTACTTTTAGGAGGACAAGTTAAAGTAACAGAAAACAATTAGCAATTTAATTTTTTTTTTTAATCTAGGATATAAACTTAGATCAGTACTAATATTTTAGTAGAAACCAAATTTGGCAAGTTAGAAATCTTTGATGAAATGCTTAAATTGAAGAGGCGTGCCTTGTAGATGAAATAAAAATAGTGTTACTATGATAGGGAAAAAGACATAATCTTTCAGTATTCTAGCAACAAGGAGGTAAAAACATGAACATATGGATAAAGATAAAAAGAGAAAAAAAGTTATATCATTATGAGGTAGTGCCATAAGTTACTCAAGCAGATAGAGGAAGCAGGTGATATTTCCTCAAATCAGATCATAAAAACAACTTAAGTCAAAATGAAGTAGTGATGAAATTTTTGTCTTCCCATAAAGTTTGCTGAATGTCTCATTCAAGTAAAAACACCCGCAGGAGGATTTCTTGACTTACTTTGTTCGCAGTTCATCTGTGATTACAGTAGAGGCAACAAGGAGAACTGGTCCTCAGAAACTAATTTTTACCAACAAGTAAGACCTAATTGATGAAACTGAGGCATCTAAGATCCTGGGTGAGCAATGACCCTGTCATCTTAGGGTTAATTATCTAAAGAGGTAAATACTAGAAATAATGAATCATATGTTCTACTTTTATAGAGACAGATTTCAAAAAATTCAGGGGTATGGAGGGAAAGAAATGAGTTCTTGTGTATATAAAAGGAATGACAGCTCTCTAAAAAAGAATTCTGAAAAAACTGTAGATGATTCTAAGGAGTTTGACAATGTGCTGTACTCTGTGACTATAGAGCCTTAAAGGACACACAGAAAAAATGAAAAGGCATAAAACCCATAATAAATTCAGACGTTTGTTATGATTATATGAATAGGTAGTGTCAGGTTTAAGAGCAGAATGAATTACAAATTGAGAAGAATATTAAAACTAACAAAACAGTCTTTTTATAAAAAGTAGTATTTGAATAAAGAAAACTCATTAGACCATTGCTTGGGGGTTGGAGAGTGGGGGCAGACAGAATAAACTTAACAAACCTAAACAACATAGAAAATAGAGATACTACTGTACTTCTGTAAGTGTTCTCTGAGAAATGTGAGCTAGATGGTAATATAATTTCTCACTTACTCACTCATCCCGTAGCTTGAAAGTTGCATTCAATCCTAACATTGTAATAAAGGAAGACATTGACAATCTCGAGTTCAGTCAGGTGACTTCACATATCATCTAAGATGGTATTACAGGGAATCATAAAAAGGGCTAAGAGGAATAATGATTCAAGAAATTAGGACTATGTATCTTAGAGAATACCAGATTTAGAAAGGAATTTGACACGTGTCTGCCAGTATTTGAAAATATTGTAGGTAAAGAAGAATTTAAATCCTCTTTTCAACAGGGCTTTTAAAAAAACAACACGAGAATTTGTTAAAGGGATGGGACTAATAGGTAAATTTTAACTCAAGTTTAGGACAAACTGGAGAATTAAAGTTGAATGCGTTGCCTCAAAGCAGAGGCTAGATTATCACTGTTTTTGGACATTGTTGGTGCGAGGGTGGGGGGCTTCCTCAGTTAAAAACAAACAAAATAATTCACTCCTTATCCATTCTGGTTAATTGGGCTTTTGCTAAATGAATTGCTTCTACCTTTTTCAATAGAGCTAAATTTTTAATCTTCAATTCTCTAGATCCTTTTCTTTAAGTATGATTCTTTCTTGAAATTAAGTTACATGGTAACAAAAAGTATTTAGGAAGAACCTAAAATGTGATGTTTTGAAGTATAGTTCTAATTGAAAGAGGAGTGATCAGATTACACTACTGAATTTCACTCTAGATATGACCATTTTATGAAGACTCTTTCTTAAAACCCATTAAAATGCTAAACTTATATGTTTTATTTGCACACATTGATATATATTTACATTCACAGGTGTTGTATCTCCCAACTAACAATTTTTATTTATTACTATAGATCATACCTCACTCCTGTTAGGGATGAAGAGTCTGAATCCCAAAGAAAAGCAAGATCTAGACAAGCAAGACAGTCTAGAAGATCAACACAGGTATGTTTAATGTATATAATATATAAAACTTACTTACATATATACTTAATATATAAAAATAATTTGCCTTTCTTTTTCATTTTGCTCTGAAACTATTGATGGCAATATGCAGTGTGAGTAAACCTTAAAAGATAAAGGTTCCTCCCATAGCCTTTTATATACAGTTATAGTGTTACTGTTATATTTCATCTAATTAGCTATATGCTTTCATATCTCTTTGAGTATTTATTTTTTTAATCCTCCATTTCTAATATGGTGTCTGGCACAGAGTAAGGATTTGGTAAGTATTACAATGAATTAATCATATATGATGTCTAATAATTACAGGGTTTTTATGAATATTTGGAGGGTGGGAGCAGGTAATAAGCCTCTTATATTAGGAATATCAAACAGCTAATGTGCGAGTATGAGAAAAATGTCACTCAAGCTAGTTGTTGTCGTCTTACCTCCTTCTCGTTGTCTTACCTCCTTCTCGCCATTCTAATTATGATATATATAATATATCCCTTTGTGTCTTTTCTTTCCTATAGTTGAGACACTCCACAGTCCAGATTCAACTGTTTGATCCTTACCATTATTTAGCTTTCTAGCTTAACTATTTGCTAGGTCTTAACATACTTTTTCCATCTTTGTGCCGTTTACTTGAAATCTAACCTGTGCTTTAATCTAACCTTGGAAAATTATTAAACCTTAACGGTTCTCACACATGTGCACACACACACACACATATGTAAACATAAATATATATAATGCAGTATCTAAACAATGTGTATTTTGGCTCTTCCTCCCTTCTCTTCTCTGAATTTCTTGGGACCATTTATATTCATGTGGTATTTCTGTCATTTCCCTTACTATTTTGTTAGTTTCTGAATACAGTGTCAGTTTCTTATACCCACTACCTTTAATTTGTATCTTTCCCACTACCTATCATTGTGCTTGCTCATGGTGATTTTTCATAGAATAAATGTAACCTGCTTTGTAAAAATTCTGTTTTCGTTTGCAAATCAATTCCAAATATGCATATTTGACTTTTAATACATTCATATTTAATAGATCTACTTCTAAAATATTCCTTTGAAATAAGCTTTAATGCATTTCACAAATATCTTTTCTGTGTGTACAGGGAGTGACACTGACTGATCTTCAGGAAGCTGAAAAAACAATAGGAAGAAGTCGTTCTACCCGAACTAGAGAACAAGAAAATGAGGAAAAAGAAAAAGAGGAAAAAGAAAAACAGGATAAAGAGAAGCAAGAAGAAAAGAAGGAGTCAGAAACATCTAGAGAAGACGACTATAAACAGAAGTATTCAAGAACATATGATGAGGTAATAGTATATCAACAACACAGCTGGGTCAAGTGACATGGATAGTTTTTATGATTCTAAATATATAAGAGATTTATATAACAATAAACCATAAACTTAATACTCAAAACATAGCTGGAAATTTAAATTACTTTGGCAGGATTAGAATATTACTTTTCCTTTGAAATGAATTTTTAAATGTTTTATGTTTTAATTATGTTTAATATTTCAGATGGGTTTTAATTTTAATGTTTCACAGACTTATCAGCGTTACAGACCAGTATCAACTTCAAGTTCAACTACTTCATCCTCTTCACTTTCTACTATGAGCAGTTCACTCTATGCTTCAAGTCAATTAAACAGGCCAAATAGTCTTGTAGGTATAACTTCTGCTTACTCCAGAGGATTAACAAAAGAAAATGAAAGAGGTAAGAATACCAAATTTTGAAAACACTTTGTTTCCTTCAAGCAATACTTTGATTGATTTTTCCTAATTAATAGTTTAACAGAAAAAGAATGACATCCTAACCTGTGTTTCACTCAACCTAAAAAGAAAGAATATGATAGTTGAGAATAAGAAAGTAGAAAACAAAAATGGAAAATGATATGGTCTAGGGTTCGTACAAATTCCTTTATAAACTAATACTTCACAAAACTTTCATGTTCACCTATAAAGAAAAGTCAGTGTGGGAAAACTGATGGGTGACTCTTTCTAGGAACAGTTTATTAGTACAGTACTTTTCAGGTGTTTTAAGCTATTTCTTGCCTGCTATGTAGATCATATCTTTTAAATTTTTTTTATTAATTTGTTTTAAACTAAAAATCACTTAACATGTAGTGTCCTTGCTAAAACAAAAGTTTTATGCTTATTTATTGGAAAATAGATTTCTCGGTTATAAATTTGTACATTGATGCTTACTTTACCATTTCCTATGATTTGATATAAACTTCATATTTAAATTCTAGTTAATTCCTACTTAAATCAGAGATGAGTACTAAGTAAAATTATTCCTATTTATAGGCATTTTATATTTTAAAAGCTAAATTTCGGGCCGGCCCGGTGGCGCACTGCTACAGTGTGCCGCTTGGGAGCGCGGTGGCGCTCCTGCCAAGGGTTCGGATCCTACATACAGACCGGTTCCCGCTCACTGGCTGAGCGAGGTGCGGAAGCAACACCAAGGGTTGCGATCCCGTTGCTGGTCCCGGTCCGGTACGGGCGCAACACTGAGGGTTGCGATCCATTGCCGGACACGAAAAAAGACAGAAAAAAAAAAAAAAAGCTAAATTTCATAATATTAATTATAATAATATCAGTAATCATGTAGGATAAACGTTTTTTCCCAATTTCCAGCTGTAATTTCTTTTGTTGTTGATTGAGGTGTTTTAGTTATTTAAACTACTATGTGTGAGGCCTGCATAATATTTGTAAAAATTTTGAGCCAGCATTTAAAATTAATGTTATTCATATAAAACAGCAGATTTTGGGCTTTTCTTGAAAGTTGAATGATTTGGCAGCACTGGATCTGGATTTTCACATGTCAGCAGTTGGCTAGAGCTAGGCAGTAGCAACCCCCCAAACCCCTGATAGCACCCTCCTGGCCCATTTTACCCATTTGTATTACCTGGACGACTGCTGTAGGCATTGGAGTTTGAGATCTTTCCTTTAAATTGATTCAAAATACAACTTAAAAACCCCATCTTAATACTATAATTTTGGGTGTCTTTTACTATGACTCTTTGCTAATGACACAGTAGTCTTTTTAAATTCATTTTTGTTCCATATATGTCTACTTTTTTAGCATATTCAGAGGCCCTAATATTCTTCTAGTATGTAAGCCTGAAGCCATTTTAACTGTCCCAGGAAGGAAACAGAAATCTTAAGACTAACATTTTTATGTTGATTTGTTTTTAATAAACAACAAATACATTTTCCAGAAGAAAAAAGAGTTTGCTCTTAGGTACTATTTAATAAAAATGAAATGGGGCTGAGCCCATGGCGCACTCGGGAGAGTGCAGTGCTGGGAGCGCAGGAGCACTCCCGCCGCGGGTTTGGATCCTATATAGGGATGACCGGTGCACTCACAGCGCTCACTGGCTGAGTGCAGTGCAGCCGGTCTCAAAAAGGACAAAAAATAAAAAATAAAATAAAAATAAAAATGAAATGAATACTGTATTACTGCTGTGTGAATACTAGCAATAATAAAAGCAGAAACTGATAAATTTGTATGATTCCTACTAGCTGTTGCATCAAGAACTGTTGTTGTTTTTTCTTACAGAGTATTTGCTTTGGTATAATAACCGACTCCATATCAGGCATTAATAACTGGAGCCCCATTCTTCTCATAGGGCTCTATTATTTTCTATTCAGCAAATATCATTGTGTCTTTTGAGCAAAATTTTTATTTTAGGCACTAGGAAAATGAAAATAATTAGTTCTTGTCGTGGTCCTCGAGAATATATCTAATGAGAGATAGAGATACATATTTAAATTAAGTCAACAGGAGCACTGAGAGCCGCAAAAATTAATTCTGATTAGAGAAGTTTAGAAAGCTTCACAGAAGAGGTCAACTTAGAATTGCTTTTACATTTATCTTGTGAGATATTGTCAAGATACATTGCTATTATGTAGTTCATTGTAATCCTTAACAGAGGGAGAAAAGAGAGAAGAGGAAAAAGAAGGAGAAGATAAATCACAACCTAAATCAATCAGAGAACGACGACGACCAAGAGAGAAAAGAAGATCTACAGGAGTATCATTTTGGACACAAGATGTGAGAACCTATTGAAATACTACTGCTTGATAGTATGCTTAATGTTTCTGAAAGTACATACTAATAATTTCTTACATGCCTCAGATTGTATATTCTTTAAATCATCACTATGTTTTCTGAGTCAAGTTGTTAAATAAGAATAGTTCTTTATAAGGATGAATAACAACTACTTAAAAGCAGGAGTTTTGTCCTAATTTGGGGATAAAAATAATACTGGCTGTAACTCAGAGTACTTATGTTGATTATTTTATAATGGGTAAACTGTTCCTTTATCTTAGAGATTCTTGAAGGAAAATGCTTTACATTTCATCCCATTTTTGCAAATATAATAAGAGCTACATAACAGAATTATTTCCATTTCAAGGGATACCAGATAGAAGCAGTACTTATCAAACTAGAACAATCCTAAACAAATTAATTTTTTTCTGATTCCTGATTGAATGCATGATATTGCTATTCATATGCAAGGGAAAGAACAATTGCAGGGTAGCACTGTTAGTGTGAATTTTATACTGCCTCAGTACAATATATAACTACAGAAGAGCAACCATAATTTGTTTTGTCTTTTTTTAAACCTCTTGATTTAAAAATTTTTTTTAATAAACGTTTTATTGAAGTATGGCATGTGCAGAAACATAATTCATAAATGTGTGGCTTAACGAATTAGCGCAACGGGAACATACCTGTGGAATCACTATTCAGAATGAGAAATAAAAATAGCAATGCAGATGCCCCCATATGCTCCATCTCAATCCCTATCATCCTAATTTTCAAAGTCAACCAGTATCCTGATTTCTAACCATAGTTAGCTATACCTGTTTTTCAAAGAGCATATGAATAGAACTAGATTTTGTAACTCAGTATTATGTTTGAGATACATCCATGCTGTTGTACGTTTACGTTTATTACTATGAAAATTTGTTTTTAAAAAATCTCTAAATCTATTCAATCTTCCATTAAAAGACCATAGGGTCATCTGTTTTCCTGTTGAAATGACCTTTATATCACTATATGTTCCTCTTTATCTCTCTAAAATAATATGTTTTATCTTAAAGTATGCTTTTATGGAATGCTTTCTTTTCATTAATCTTCACATACTATATCTTTCCTATACTTTTATTTTCAACTTTCTTTGTTTTTCTTGTAAACAGTATATGTATTTAGGTTGACCATTTTCTGAACATTTTTATCTAATTGCAGTATTTTGGTCCATTTTCATTTTATTTAATTACTAATATAATTACATATACTGCAAATAACATTATGTCATATGCAGTTTAAAACATAAGGAGCTAAAACATGTGAAGACAATAGCACAAAATATGGGAAAGTATTAAATGGAGTTAAAGAGTTGTAATATCCTCACATTGTCCATGATGTGGACAGAATACTCATATATATTAGACTTGAATCAAGGGTGCAGCTAGTTATTAAAAAAAAAAGTTTAAAAAGGGAGAATAAAATAATACATAAATGACAAAAAGGAGACATAAAGGAAGAACAGATGGGGAAAATAGAAAATTGTTCTCCGTTTTTCTTTTAGCTTTTAATATAGAAAAGTTCAAGCTTATACTGAAATAACAGAATAGTATAATGACCCCACCCCAGGTATCCATTGTTTTAAGTACATCCTCACCACTTCCCCAACTCTTACATTATTTAGAAGAAAATCCTAGACATATTTTAGCTCTAAATGTTTCAGTGTGTAGTCTGAGAGATAAGTGCTCCCTCTCAAAAATTATTAAAATTATATTTTAAAAATATATAGTAAAGATAACCACAATACATTATCACACAATAAATTATTACAACATCATTATCACACTTATTGTTAAACAAATTAACAATACTTACTTTCAAATATCCAGTCAATTTTAATTTCTAGTTGACTCATATATGCCAGAAGTGATTTGTGATTGCAGCTTTATAGTTTCCTGGTTTGGTTAAGAACCAAATAAGAACGATACATTATGATTAGTTGTTTCTTTAAAGTCTCTCCTAATCAGTGAATTTCTCTCTCCATCTCATTTTTTTTCTTATGATTTTTTTTTTCAAAACATGACAGTCAATCCTTGACTTGGTTGTCAGTACCATGCTCACCCATTGAGCTAATCAGCCATCCCTATATGGGATCTGAACCAATGGTCTTGCTGTTATTGGCACCACCCTCTCTTGAGTGAGCCATGGGTGGCCCCTTATGATTTTTTTTTTTTTTTTTTTTTTTTGTCTTTTTCCGTGTCCGGCAACGGATTGCAACCCTCAGTGTCGCCCCCATACCGGACCAGGGACCGGCAACGGGATCGCATCCCTCAGTGTTGCTCCCGCGCCTCGCTCAGCCAGTGAGCGGGAACCGGTCTGTATGTGGGATCCGAACCCTCGGGTGGGAGCGCCACCGCGCTTCCCAAGCGGCGCACTATCCAGTGCGCCACCAGGCCGGCCCCTTTATGATTATTTTTGAAGGAACTGAGTTATCACATCCCTGAAGAATAGTCTCTGTTTTCTATATTTCTATAAATTGGTAGTTGGAGATAGAGGATTGATCGGATTCTGGCTCAAAATTCTTTTGGCAAGTTATTTTGTTCCTCCATCAGGAAGTACATAATGTCTGGTTGATTTTTAATTGAGTGCCTAGTAACATTTTAATAGCATTAAAATAAAATCTCACAGTCTTAGCATCCTAACATCTAGTAACTCTTATTACTTAAAGTTGTCTTATCATCTTAGTAACTCATATGTTAGGAATTTCATAAGCAAAGCTGTGTTATTACTTAGTATTTATTTTTTTCTCCAATGTTATTCAGACTAGTTCTTCCTTCAGAAGTTCATTTTCTGGAGTTATGCACTAGACCAGCATTATAAGGATCCTCAGATTCATATTGGTAATACCGATGTTTTTAATTTGAGCTAGCATTGAGTTCCGATCAGCCATCAAGGCACAGATCTCTATACCCCTTCATAGTACATCAAACCTATAGCAGACAGCATACAAAAAGAACCAGCTTGGTCAAAGAAAGAGTGATGTGTGTAATTAGGAATTTCCTTCCTCTGTTGTACTATTAGCATTTGGGGGTTACTACTTGTATTAGTCCATTTCTATTGCTTATAACAAAATACTTCGAACTGGGTGATTTACAAGAAAATGAAATTTATTGCTTACAGTTTCTGAGGCTGAGAAGTCCAAAGTCCAGGGAACACATCTAGTGAGAGAGCCTTACTGGTGGCGACAGTGACAGCAGAATATCACATTGTGAAAATGGTGGTCCAGAGAGAGAGACTAACCTTCATTCAATCTCCATTCATTTTAATATAGAAAAGTTTAAAAAGTTAAAAGCCGTTCAAACTACACCCCTGATCACCATTATTATTCCATTCACTACAGAATGGTCCAACAATCTAATCATCTCTTCAAGGCTCCACCTTTCAATTACCATAGTAGGTTTTTCCACCCTCTGAACATTGTCACAGTGGGGCTCAAGTTTTGGGGGACACTCAATCCAAGGCATTCTGCCCCAGGCCCTCCAAAACTCGTGTTCTTTTCACATTACAAATACATTCATTTCATCCCCAGATTCTTAACTTGTTTCAACTCAGAAGTCCAAAGTTCAGAGTCCCATCTGTGAAATCAATACAGTTTATCTACTGCCAAGATACAATGGTGGGACAAGCATAGGGTACATATTCCTGTTCAAAAAGAGGGAAATAGGCCAAAAGAAAGGTGTAACGGATGCAAAACAAGACTGAAACACAGGCATCAAATCTCAAAGCTGGCGAATCATGTATACCTTGACTCCATCCATGTTCAATGTCCTCTGCATGCTGGTGCAGGGGTTGGGTGTTGCTTTTCCTCCCATGGATTCGTCACCCCTTTTCCCCTGGGTGACAGAGCTGCCAAAGATTACTCAAAGCCCATCTCTCTGAGCAGTGAGAAGCCCCCAAAGGGGGTTAATCTCCTGGAACCCTCAAGATAGAAGCATTCCTTCCATTTGGGAAATTAACCGCGAATTGGGATTCTCTTCTGGCGTTTATTCTCCAGACCAGGAAGTTACAGGAAGAGAACATGGGTGGGGTTTTTTCTAAGTGCAGTTTAACAAGTTTAACAACAGAAGCTGGTAACATTCAGTAAGAAAAGCAAGGTGACATTCTATAATGCAGTTTTCAAGAAGTTAAGTGATCCACTAACAAAAGCTTGATTTTAGCAAACATTCTCTTCTTATAACAATATCCCAGTATCTTTACATATCAATCAGTAACCTGTCTGTCTTTGAGCCAGCAACCTTGCTGTGTTACAATTCCTTAACTTACAACAGAGACTATAGCCTGGGGAAAATTTCCTGTCCTTTGCAAGGTCAGTGTTTGAAACTGCAAGGCTTTGGAAAACCAGGCCCTGTGACGTACATTTGCTTTATGCATACTCCACAGTTGGGTCCCTAGGTCCCCAGGCAGCTCTGCTTCTAGGGCTTTCCTAGTCTCAGGAGATGCTTTAGCTCTCACAGGCTGACATTGCACACTGGTAGCTCCACAATTCTGGGGTCTCCATGGCAGTCCTGCACTCCCAGCTCCACTAGTCATGGTGCTGATGGGGTTTCTCTGCTGCAACTATTACCCCACATTTCCACTTGACATTGCTCTAGTGAAAACTCTATGCAGTGACTCCGCCCCTGTGACAGATCTCTTCCTGGGTCCCCAGGCTTTTCCATATATCCTTTGAAGTCAGGGTAGAGGCTCCCAAGCCTTCCCAACTCTGGCATTCTGTGAGCCCGCAAACAACGCTATGTGGGCGCTACCAAAGCTTCCAGCTTATATTTTACAAAGCTGTGGGTCCAGCCACACCTGGGGCCAATTTAGCCATGGCTGAAGCAGCTGAAACAGCCGAAACAGCTGGGGTAATGATGTCGGAAGCAACATCCCAAGGTGGCCCTGGGCAGCAAGTCCATAGAGGGCACCTTGGACCTTTCCCCAAGACCATTTTGTCTCCCTAGCCCTCTGGGCCTGTAAAGGAAGACTCAGCCTCCAAAATCTCTGAAATGACTTAAAGGTCTTTTCTCTCTTCTCTTGATGATCCCTTTCTTCTGTACACATCTCATTAGCAAAGGGCCTGTGGCTATATACCCTTGCTTTTGGGGCCAGGCTGAAAGTTTTCCAAGTTTTTGCCCTCTGATTTCTTTTGAATTATAAATTTTGGCTTTACCTCATGCCTTTTCTGCCCTCACTCAGCATAGGCTGTTGCAAGTAGCCATGCAGTTTTTTTAATGCTTTGCTGCTTAGAAATTTCTTCCAACAAATACCCTAGTTCACATCTCTTAAGTTTTAACTTCCACAGTCCACAAAGTCCTAGGGCATGAATGCAATGCAGCCGAGTTCCTTGCCATTTCAAACTAGGTTTGTCTAGTTAAAAGCCTGTGGTATTTTTATAGTGAGCCTGAGCCAGATATGTTTGAACGCAAATTTCCCTTTTCTTTTCCCTTAACCTTTATAAAACTTGTTGAGATTTTCGAGGCATTTTAGTGGAATATTCCCATAGTCTGCGATTCTAGGCTTCTAGCCTACTGAGACCTTGATTTTCTACTTAGTGTGCTCTAAACTCCCAAGAAATTTCTAGATGAAGGAACCACCTAAACACAGTAGGACTATGAAGAAATCTTGCCAAGTTTAGCAAATCTAGCTCTTCTTACCTTAAATAATGAATTTCTGTTTTTAATGCCTTGTTAGAGTTGAGTGGCTAAATAGTACTTATGTTGACTATTAAATTATGTGCAGTGTTATAATATAAAGTGGAATATCTACTCTTTCTCATGTTAAGCCTCCAGCTTCCTCATCCCCAGTGTGAATGTGTTTCCTAAACCACATGTTAGATGGGTGGTGTTTCTTTACCACATATGCTAACCTACTTAGATAGATTGTGCCATGCCAACAAAATAGGCTTCCTCTAAATAGGGTTTTAAAAAAATCCCACTTAAAAAAGTTTTTCTTTTATTTCATGGTATAGTCTTTTCAATAGTCATTTTATTTTTTTATTTTTTTATTTTTATTTTTTCCTTTTTGTCTTTTTTCGTGACCAGTAATGGGATCGCAACCCTCGGTATTGCGCCCGTACCGCGACTGGCAACGGGATCGCAACCCTCGGTGTCGCGCCCATACCACGACCGGCAATGGGATCGCAACCCTCGGTGTTGCACCCGCACCGCGCTCAACCAGTGAGCGGACCGGTCTCTATATGGGATCCGAACCCTCGGCGGGAGTGCCGCCACACTCCCAAGCGCCGCACTCTACCTAGTGCGCCACCGGGCTGGCCCTTCAATAGTCATTTTAAATTGGAAAAGTCCTTAAAGTTCTTAAATATCAACTATTCGAAATCTACGTTTACTTTTTAAACTAAATTAATTTTATTTTAAATTAATTATTTAAAATAAACTTATTTTAGAGTGATGAAAATGAACAAGAACAACAATCAGATACAGAAGAGGGATCCAATAAGAAAGAAACTCAGGTAAGGAGCATTACTTTTTATACCGAAAAGTACTTGTATTCATATTTTTAAGGATTACTTTTTAATTGTGTTCGATTATATTTATTCATGCAAAACAGTTATTGCACACTGTACCTACATGCTGGAGATATGATGTTAGTGATTGCCTGGGGATCAGGGTTGGAAGAACTGGAAAGGGACACAAAGAATATTTTAGAGGTGATAGAAATGTTCTGGATCCTGATTGTAGTGGTGGTTCTATGGATATACACAGCTGTCAAAACTCATGAAATTGTACACTGTAAGTGGATGTGGTTTATTGTATGTAATTTAACCTTCAGAGTTGAAAAAGGGAATAATATCCTTGACCCAAGGAAAATATCTAAAGGATATTCAGAAGTAGTGGAAATCCAGAAGTTGTAGGCTTAGACGTTATTTCTATGGGTGGCAGAGTTGTGTTCTGAAGAATATAGGCCTCTTTAACTTTATGTTTCACCATAGCTAGCAAGTGGTGAAAGTTTCTTCCCCCTACCTTTTTTTGCTCGTACAGAAAGCAAAAATACTTTTAATAGTTCTATTTCATAGGGATAGAACTATACATGAGTTAGTTCTAAACTCGGCACGATCTAACCTGAAATAGCATTCTGCTCATGTTAATGTTAGTCATCTTCATTTTGACTTGGGGTTCTTTAATAGGGTTATTACATTTCCTTCTAGTCTTCAAGGATTTACAGTAATGTGAGGTAAACAAAAGTTGGTTATCTGTGCTAGGTGACTGTGGACATTACTTTTAGGGTCACATTTGCCTGTTTTTGACCCAAAAGATACTTTTATTTTATCTTTCTGTGGCCAGACAGATTGAGAATGAGTTAGTTCTGAGGGTAAATTGTTTGTAGGTCTAAAGATTGTCATTTGAACTCTTTGCCTATTAATTGTCAGCACTCCCAGTTTACCTGTGTCCCTTGCTTATTATGTTCCTTCAACTCATTCATCATCTTCCTTTCCCAGTGATATCCCATATTTCTCATCTTTCAAGGAAAAACAATGTACAGGTAAACAAGAGGGAGGAAATTAGTAAACTATCAACTGCTGATACTTCTCACTGCTTTATCAAACAGAACTTTCCCCCACCAGGCTGGGGTGGGAGGGAGAAAATTTTCTGGCTTCCAGTATTGTAACTTTGAAGCATATCGATATATATTGTGTCTAAATTTTACTATTAAAATTATACATGAGATTTATTAAGGTTAAGTAAAAAATTGTTTCTAGGAAGAACAGTTTTCTTAGTTCCAAACAGTTTAGTTTTTGTTCATTTTAAATAGAAGACTGTTTAGACCTTGCTTTGTGCTAGCATTGTTTCAGTTAGAGGTAACAGAAAACCCTGCTCAAACTGGATTAAACAAAGAAAATGTATTGCGCTCTGGTTGTATTACACAATCCTTTATGTCAGCTTCATCCACAGGCTGATTTACCTCATAGAGATGGAATGAATTATACTTGGCTTAGGCCAGATAGGACCCACCACTGAGCTCTTGCAGCCATTTTGCTACCAATCTAGGCGACATACTATCTCACCTAAACCTAATAACTGCTATACCATGAGGAAAAGGAAGAATGGAGGTTAAATGCTAACCCACAATGTCTTCCATGGTAGGCTAGAAAAATGCTTTGCCCATTGGATGTGCTACTCTCGTTCGAAAACTAGTAGCATCAGACCTTACTTCTCTATGAAAAGGTGTAAGCAGCAAAATTCTTATGTGTGTTTTCTGAAAAAGCATATTCATTATGTCAGAAAATGTGTTTGATAACAAAACTTCTGTACAGTTTCTAGAATCCAAGTTAACTACATTAGAAAATTACTTTCTGGTATGTACTTTTTTGCTTAAAAGTAAATTGTAAGAATCTGAAAAGTTCTTGAAAATTCTGAATTACATGTGAAAACTCAAGCTATCTGCCGTCAGGATATAAGTTACAAGAAAATTAAGGTAAAATTTTATCACAGATAATTTGAATTATTTTATCATAATATTATTCTTATTTCCAAAATTGGGGCTTCTGTTGCTTTGGTTATTATGATTTACTTTCATTAAGCTATTGAATGGTAAAACTTTTTAGCATGCAAAGAATATTAGTAGTAAATCAAAAATTTAAACCAAATATGACACCAAGGCAAGAAACCATAAAAAAAAAGATTAACATATTTGATAATTTAAACATGTGAACTCAAATATGACAGAAAAGGCACATTTATTAAAGGAAACACATATTTGCTTAATTTAAAAGTAAATAATTATAGCCCTCTTTTATAACATTTAAAAGATAAATATTTGAGACAGTTAAAAAAAAACAAATGGAGGGGCAAGTACATGAAATTTATAAATTTTACAAAAGAAGAAATACAAATGGCCAACAAGCTTAAAAATGCATCCAGTCTCATTAATAACCAAATACATGACAATTCAAAAGATGAAATTGACTAATAATGCCCATATTTGACATGATTAGTATTGAAATAGGCATTCTGATATAAAGTTTTGATACTATAATAAGTTACACCTTTTTGGAGATAAGTTTAACAATACAAATCAGAAGCCTTAAAAAAAAGTCCACATCTTTTAACTTAGCACTTCCACTTCTAGAAATTTATTCCCATGGATATAAATGAAGTGTGTAAAGGTGTTCATAGCAGCATTACTTGTAAAGCAAAAAATTGAAAACACCCTAAATGTCTGTTGGTAAGACATAGATTAAATAAAATGTATATACATAGATCATTATTTTGTGTGTTCATATAGATGAATTGTATACAAAAAAGTTTAACAGTGGCTATGTAGGGGATGGGAGGAATAGAGAATTACAAAAGAACTTTGTATACTGTATACTCTTATATGAGCTTAAAATGCTGTAATTGGAAAAATTAAAAGGATATTTTTACTTTGGAAAAAGAATTTTAAAATACAGGGAGCCAAGGACATTATGCTAACTGAAATAAGCCGATCACAAAGACAAATACTGCATGACTCTTACTTATTTGGTTATCTACAGTAGTCAAACTCACAGAAAGTGGAATTGTGGTTGGCAGGGTTGGTAGAAGGGGGAAAGAAAGGGAAGTTATTGTTTAGTGAATGTAGAGTTTCAGTTTTGCAAGGTAAAAAAGTTCTAGAGATCTTTTGCACAACAATGTGAATATAGTTAACAATACTGAACTGTACACTTAAAAATGATTTACATAGTAAATTTATGTTATGTGATTTTTACAATTTATAAATTTTTAAAAAATAATCAATAATAATTTTTTTAAAGACACACAGAATTTGAATGATTTCTGTGATTGCTTGGAGTTTTTATTTATTTTAAAGTGAACAAAAGTGGGGACTGTAAGGTGAGGTGGAGTATTTTTATTTAATACTTGTACATTTTAGTTCATGCCTGGATATTTTACTGAATCTGAATATCATCTTGGAAACTAAAATTTATTTTTTTAAATTAACTGTTGCAAAACTAAAAACTAAATCAATAAAAATAAAACATTACATTTAAAAAATGCAGGGAGCAAGGTCAAAATTGCTTTTGCAAAGAAAATTTACACAGACTTTAGTAAAACATTTTTAGTCAAAAGTAGATTTTGAACAGTACTGAAGGAGCCCAATAATACTACAGTGTATTCAAAGGTAAATATAATGGGAAATTAGAGATATCTGAATTCAAGAATTTAACAAACCATTTCTGAATAGTTACCTTACAAATAATTATAGATTCAGTAAGTATTTTAATAGAAAAAAAAAACTAAATTTGATCAACAAAAAATTACTTTGACCCCAATAAGACTATTTTACCCTATTAATCATTTCACCATTTAATAAGAGTTACTGAGATTTCAATGTAGCATACCACTTGCTTGAGAAAACTAACTTGAAGTATTCATCTTAATTTTCTACTCTCTAATTACGAAACTTTGAAGGAATATGTATAGCTAGATTTCCAGGAAGTAAATTTTATGTGTATACTGTTCTACGTAAAATACTTTTGGTATTCATTTATTTGCCTCTTATTGCCTCAAGAACTGAAAAATGAGTAAAGTGGTTTCTTTGAGATGTCGCATAGTAAACTTGACATTAATTAATGTAAATTTTCTCCTGCTGAGTGGGTAAATAAAAGTAATGAATATGGTTCTTTGTCTCTATTTTTTTTCCTTTTAATTAAAAAATAATGTATGTTGGGTTTTGTAGGAAGTTACAAAAGGTGTCCATAAATTGTCAAAAGTAATTGTGTGGTATCGTACATGTAAAAATATGTCCAATGACTCTGTGTTCTAGAACCTCTTTCTAAGAACAACCACATTAAAGTTAAAGCATATATAGTTAATAGATAAGTGGTAGTTTAATAGTGTGAAAACATTAATGATATGTTAAATTTACTTGATCATTCACAATTTAATAGTTAATTGAAAGCATAAAAATTTAGTATGCCTTTGTTTTTTTCCTCCTTCCTTTCTAGACGGATTCCGTTTCTAGGTATGCTTTACTTTTTTTTACTGATCTTTTTCTTATTTTTATCTTTGATAAAAATAATGTTACTAGATGTTTAATGGATTTTGTGAGCTTATAGAATCATTGGAGTAATAAAAATAATTCTGTAGAAATTTAGATGACCTAATCCCTGTCATTAGCTTTCTTCGTTAAAGGCTTTACTTTTGGTTCACTAGTCACAGTAAGTCACTGAGAAGATTTTTCCCAAGTCTCTACAACATTGATAACTTTTCTTAAGTTTTCCAAAGTTTCCTAACTTATTTCAACATTGACTATCTCATCATTAACAACAGGAACTGATGAAACCCATCCTTGGCCAGAAATTTATAAGTACTTAGAATCTTCTCCCTTAGCCCTGCTTTAGATAAAAGAGAAAATAATGAAGACACTTTTTAAAAATGTCATCTAGCTCAAAATTGTTTATCTTTTTTCGGAGAATCTCCACTATGTCCTTGAATCTAATCACTGTTCCATTTCTCTTGCCCATGGTTGTTAGTTAAAGCCCTGTAAGACCAAGAATAAATGTTTATATACTGATGATTCTATTGAATTGAAATACAGAGCCAATAGCATTTATCAGAAAAGGTAACCTGAATTCAAAACCAGATAATAAGAGAATTCTCATTACAAGTAAGATACATTCTTCCTGTTCAGGACAGACATTATCTATCACTTTGGATGTACTGTATTTCATTAAATCTAAGATGTTACTAATTTTAAAGCACAATTATATTATATACCCCTAAAAAAAGGAAAGGTGCCACCAATTAAACTATAATACACTGTCAATTTAAGCCATGTTCTGATTTCAGAGATGTTAAAATGTGGAAAAATGTATAATTTAAAATTGTTGAAATAATTTATGATGTGAAACCAGTTTTGACTTTTATGTATGGAAATTTTGAATCTCTTCCTGAAATAACAGAATTTAGTACTATTAAAAATAACTTCCCATTTATTATGTATCACAAAAAATTGATTAGATAACAGATGAGGGAAGTGGTTACCTACTTTTTGGAATATCAAGTTAATATATACTAATATGTATGTTAATGTAAGTTGTGAAAGCCTATAATAAAGATTTTTTATTTAAACTCATCTTTTGAAGATATGAAACCAGTTCCACGTCAGCTAGTGATCGGTATGATTCCTTGCTGGGTCGCTCTGGATCATACAGTTACTTAGAAGAAAGAAAACCTTATAGTAGCAGACTAGAAAAAGACGACTCAACTGACTTTAAAAAGGTACTTGGGTTATTTAGTTATATTTAATTTAAAATAAATTAGTTATCTTTTGTGTTGAGGTATTTATATTTGAATATAATTTCAAAAAATTTATAATGAAATTAGCATTTCAAAATACTTATTTTCATTTTTAGTTTTGGGCAAGTAATAGTAGTTTGTTTTTCAAAGGGAAGAGAAAAGTATCCAGTTCTTTATTTCACATTTAAGTATCTCAGGCCATTACTGTGATTGAGCTGGAGGGGGACATTCAGTAGGTGGGGGGTGTATGTACTCATTTACACACTTTGTTTTTTTTATCCATTTATTAATAGGAAGCAGCCAAACAGAGAATGTGGCTTTTCCTAGGACTATAGTTTTTCCTAAGTAACTGAAAGTTTTGGGGTAGTTCAAGTGCTATAAAGGATTAAGGATAGAAGTAATTAAGAAGTAAATAATAGAAACTCAACAATCTAGGATTCTGACAGTCATGATTCATATTATGAGCTTGGAATAAACTTGATGAAGTTTGTTGGCGAAGGAGAAGACTTGTGGTATTTATATACACATCCCAGATACCTGGCAGCTATTTGAATTATATACTTTCTTATAAGGCAAGTCAGCAAGAGAGAAAAGAGGAGGTGAGAAGAGGGGAGTCATTGTACATTATGAATAAGATTCAGTCATTTATTCAGTAAAGAACTGAACACTGAACCTGTGCTAAGTACAGAGAGTCTCTTCCTGGGCAAGTGGACATGGAGGTATTGTCCTGCTCTGATGGACATCTTCCATGTAGTAGTAGAGCAGGTATTATCATACAATCTTAGTAATGAACATATAATTTAAAAAATCGAGACAGTTGCCCTGAAGTAGAGAAACAATTTTATGAAAGTGTGTAACAAAAGAAAGTGATGGGACCGGTGGATGGATTTCCTAAGGAAGTGAGGCTTCAACCAAGAACAGAAAGGTGATTAGGAGTTAACTGACAAAAGTGGAAGAGAAAAGTGTTCCAGATGGAGTGAACTGCAAGCACACAGACTTGCTGGACAGGTACATGATGCACTGGAGTAATTAGATTTTCATTTTGGTAGTAGGACAGAGGGAAGGGTTGTGTGAGGCTGCAGCTAGACCATGCAGGACCAGACCATGCAGTGTCTTATAGGCCATTTTAAAGTTATCAGTATTCTAAGAACATGGGAAACCATTCAAAGTTTTTTAATTCATGGAGGTTGATGGAATAGCTGGCATATGAAAATTACAAGATTTTCATTTTGAAAAGTTAATTTTTGTTTCTTTGTATAAAACAGATTAGAGGGAGGTCCAGGTAAACTATTTTGTTATTAGAATAGCCTAGATAAGAGATAATTGTAGCCAGGATTATAGTGGAAGTAAGGTGGGAGGGAGGCGGGTGGAGAGGAGTAGATTCAAATGTTAAGAAAGAGGAAAAAATCATCCCTAAAGGGAAAAGTCTTAGATTTTATCCTGGATTTGAAATATTTGAAGAAAAGTTTCCCTTGCTTTTTAACTTTATTATAAGTAATAGAAGTATAATGATAAATGCAAAGTGATATTCCATCTCATTTTTGGGGATTCAAGAAGGAATAATGGGCAGAAAAACTCACAGACTCCAAATAAAGATCACAGTGACTCCTCAGCTTCAGCCACAGATATTGTGCAGATATGTGGTCCCTCTTTATTAGATAACTGAATCTTCTTTAAGAGAACCTGAAAAGTCAGATTTTTCTGTAAAGTCTTAAATCTAAAATGCTGGACCTAACTCGTAACAGTTTATATGGGACAAACACCTGTGTAACCAACAATCTCTACCTTGCAAAAAGCATTATAAAATATAATGTATCCTTTATATGGCTCATATGCTACATTAATCTTTTAATATTGCAAAGTAATCAATGAGGAATCTTAAAATATTAAGAGACCAGAAAAGTAATTTGTTCTTGTACTCTAACTTTTATAGCTTTATGAACAAATTCTAGCTGAAAATGAAAAGCTGAAGGCACAGCTACATGATACAAATATGGAACTAACAGATCTTAAATTACAATTGGAAAAAGCCACTCAGGTTTGTACTTTTTCTCTTTGTTACTCTCAAGGTAATGGCTATGATTTATTTTATATAAAAAATTGCATTGAAATTTTATCTAATATTCTTAACAGAAATTTGGATATTGATAATTGCATATTAATTAGTAAAAAGGAATCAAGCAAATGCAGTTTACCGATAACTTTACCTTTTTCTGGAGTAAATTAAAAACACAAAAGTATAGTCAAAAGTCAAGGTATTTTTAAACTTTTTAATACCTAGGTTTTGGTACATGAAGGATTGAAACACTTATTTCCAGTATGCCAAATGTAGGAAGGCATTAAAAGCATCTGTATAGGGGCCGGCCCCATGGCTCACTCGGGAGAGTACGGCGCTGGTAGCACCAAGGCCGCAGGTTTGGATCCTATATAGGGATGGCCGGTGCGCTCACTGAGCATGGTGCTGACCACACCGTGCCAAGGGTTGTGATCCCCTTAACGGTCAAAAAAAAAGCATCTGTATAGAATCATCTTATAGCCGTAAAAATTTCTTTATTATTTTTGTTTATTTTGAACATTTCCTGTTCAAATAAAACTGATTTAACATAGCAGTGCTGGAAGAAAATAATTTTACTTATAACTTTTTTTATAACTTCCTTTTATGCAACAGACTAGAAAAGACAATTTTAGATGCGAAAATTGGGATAGCTAAGCAAAACTCACAACCTTGTACGTATGATCTAGGATATATATGATCTAGAGAAATTGTTTCTCAACCTTTTTCCATGGAGCACTGTTTCTGGAAGATATGTAAATAGGCACATCTCCTCTCCTCTTCCTTCTTTCAAAAAAAGGCTTTATGATCAAAGAAACTTGGGAAATGCTGTACATTTTATGGAGATTTTACAGGGTCTATTTAATTTTTAAGAACAAACTTGTTACATTTTAATATGGGACTTTTTAGCATAAATACATTTCTGTAGCACAACTCTTGGAATCCTGCTTGAAAGCACTGATCTAAAATGGTGTATCCAGTTCTATAAATGGGACTGCAAACTTCTTTTGGTCAGTCTTTTACACTCATCTTTTTCTTAATTTTTTAAGAATTCTCTGTGTTTAACTTATACTTATTGCCAGATCCTTTTTATTGTTGCCGTTAACCACTATTGTGTTGTAAAGTAATTGTGTGTGAACAATGGATGCTATGCTAAAATTCCAGAGGTCAAGTTAACCTTAAGAGATTTTGAAGGCTCTTCAGATTCCTTCAGTTAATGGGGATTTATTGTAAAGATAAACAGAGAAGTAAGAACTAGAACACGTTTCGTAGTGAGGTGTCATAAAAATTTGAAACATTATACAAGTTAAAACTACTGACTTACACTTAGGCTTCATGGTAAACTGGAACGCCTTCATTCTTCTGGTTACATTAGTAGCTTAGTGAGACTCCATATGTAAAAATATTATAATGAGTTTCCTGAATATATCTTCAGCTCTAGAGATTTGATCATAGTGTTATCTAAGTACAGGTGTCCACTACTCCCCAAAGATGTCCACTGCTGTTATTGTGGTGACTCAGCTATTCTTTGTCACTGTGTTTCTCTGCTTTTGTGGCTCCCTTATTGTTACTTAATTCTTCCTATATGTCTCTCATTCAAACTCTGCAAGAAAGGGTAATTGATAGAATTAGCCGATTACTATCCAGCATGTAGCAACCTGTTGTGGGTGCTCATACTCCTGTTAGTGACCATTTCATAGGTTACTGGACAACCTGTATAGAAAGCTGCCTGGGGGTCAGGTACCAATTTAGGATCCTTCTACTTTGGCCAGAGAAACAAGTCACTGGATTAAAAAGTAAGACAACTTCTGCTGCAAAATTTACTGAGTTAATAATAAGAAAGATAATTCATAAAAGTAAAACTGATGAGCATTAAAACTCCTTTTGTTCAACTTTAGAGTATTTATCCTGAGTATTAAAGTCTACTGTGAATTCTTCTATGTTATTCTTTTTAAGCATTTCTTCCACAACTTTATGAATGTACATAACAATGGCAGTTTTGATAGTTGCATGAAATTTTTCCAAGGGAACTATCATCCTGTTAAGAAGAAATCTTGGGGCTAGCCAGTTAGCTCAGTTAGTTAGAGCACAGTGTTATAACACCAATGTCACGGGTTCAGATCCCCACACACCTGCCAGCTGCCCAAAACAAACAAAAACATAATCTTAAAATTTAGTTTTATTTGATAGTAGTTAACCAAAAGACTCTAGAATCCTTGAATCCTGTCTGTCCTGCCTTAGCCCAGCCACCCTTCTTACTGTACAGTCTCCAAGAAAGGGAAACAGGCCAATTTACCAGAAACCAATTTGCTGAGTAACACTTTGCCAAATGACCAGTTCACCAGATTTACTAATTATGATTTTAACAGCTTTAACTAGAATCTGTAACAAAAAACTAAACTGACATTGATTTTTTTAATCTATGAAATTATGAAATTATAAAATTGGTGAAATGTTTCCATATGAAGAAAAATCACCAATAAAATGCTGTTTTTCATCTAAGATGTTGTTAATTTATAGATGATGGCATTGCTCCACTATTTCTGATTCTTTCAGGTTTTTTTGAATGTCATTTTAAAATTTTTCAGTCCTTTAAATGTTTTTATGATTCATTTATAGATCAGGTGGCTTATCAGCCTTTGTTTTATATTTCTAGCAATTAAAATAAATATTTACATTCAAAACCATCAAAAAGAAAACAGAATTAGCTGAAAGTCTTATTCGTACTTGAAATTCTGAATTGGATTTCTAACAAGAAACAAGTAGAATACACCAACACTTATTTTTCCAGAGAATGAAAAGCATAAAGCCATTTAAAATAATGGAATAAAAGTAAGGTTATCTGGCCATGATTCTTTAAATTTTATATACCATAACCATAAAGAAGAAATTGTGAAAGAAGAATCAAAAAGTAACTTGGTTATAAGTCCTAAAAATACTAAAACAGGAATGCTGAAAAGATTGGTGTAAAGCTACTAGACCATGCCAGTTGTCGGGCTATTTTACCTGCCCGTAATCCTGCACCAACTGGGCCAATTGTTGAGCTAGGGCTGGGTCTGGAGCTCACAGACCCCTCATGCCTTGTTCACAGACTGGGTCACAAACCCTTCACATGCCAGGCTAGGTCTCCAGTCCCCTCACATGCCAGGCCAGGTCACCAGACCCTGTACACGCAGGTCTATGAGCTAGGTAACTAGCAAACAGGTCCTTGGAAGCCGTAGGTTGGAAAGCATGGCCACACGGCCCGGCGTCTGCCCGAGGCAGTAAACCCCAACCAAGGTGGCGGCACCACACAGGCACACTAACTTCACCCACACACAACCTGCCCACAAAGAATGCTGCACCACCCCCAACCTGCCTTTAGGTGAGGGGGCCTGACCAGATTGTTCTATTTTCCCAACAATTGGCAAAGAAAAAATTATATAAAGAAGTATTTTTAAATTTATCACATTAAACAGTGAAATTGTGCTTAATTAATGTCAAAGTTTGTTTTTTAAGTATATTTTGTGGTTAGTAACCACAAAACAGCATTCTGTTAAAGTTGTCAAAAACCACTTTTGGTACATTGGTTAGTCAGCTAATTGGCTTTTGAGGAATGAGCTACTTGATGGATTCATTTTCAGCATATTGACCAGGAACCTCAAGGGAGATATTTGTACAAGGGCCAATTTAAATAAGATCTAAGATGCTATGTGTGTTTAACTGGACCTATGCTCAATATCCAGATTTAGAGCTCTCTAGTATAGGATGCCACATGTGGCTTAAAACCCAAGCAGCCTTTTTAATCCCCCTACAGCCAGACTCAGATCTCAAGATTTTATCAACTTTAAACTGTTTGGATAGTATGGAAGCAGAAAAAATGGAAGGCCTGAGCTCACCAGGAAGAGAAAGCAATATAGCTAGAATTTCTTACAAGTCAAAGTAGCTATGAACCCTCTTACCAATTCTGGAGCACGGATGATTGGAAAAGAAAACTCTAGAGTGAGCAAGACTAAGATAGCTGTGGGAAAGAACAAAAAGGCCAGTTTTCTGGTCTTGCTGCATGAATACAGAGTCAGTCAATTTGGTAATAAACACATTTCAATCAAGGTCCTGGAATCAGACCGTTGAAATTAGCCACTCCTGGTGGTGCAGGAAAGAAGAGAACTTCAGCATCTGAGGGAAAACTATTATGTTTTTGTTTTTGTTCCACAGTACTTACCCACTCTCACATCCAACTAAACTATAAAAATTCCTGGGGAAAGATGATATAGACCGTAAAGTGAGAACTGTGGAGATCATTCTATTTCTAAACGTTTCTTTTACTCTATTATTTCAATACAAATACTGTTTTCTTTACTTGCACCTGTGTGTGACTCTATTGTGATTTCTTTTAATACCCATTAAGAGAAAGGTACTATGGTCCTCTTCCCCCAATCTTTACTGTACTTATTTCCCTTTTATAATTTCTTATTTTGTGGCAGAGACAAGAAAGATTTGCTGATAGGTCACTATTGGAAATGGAAAAAAGGGTAAGTGTCCATCTTATTGAATAAGTAATCATTATCCTTTATTATTTTGTGTAAGCAATAGTAGGGGGTTTTTTTTGTTTTCTTTTGTTTATATGGATGGTTAGTTTTAATTTAAATTAATATTAAGTTAATGAGTATATTTTATAGTTTAGCTTTATGTAATGTTCTATGGGATTTTTAGGTATGAAATGGCCTTATTAAATAAGATTTAAGGGCCGGCCCGGTGGCGCACTGCTACAGTGCGCCGCTTGGGAGTGTGGCGGCGCTCCCTCCGAGGGTTCGGATCCCACATACAGACCGGTTCCCGCTCACTGGCTGAGCGAGGTGTGGGCGCGACACCGAGGATTGCGATCCCGTTGCCGGTCCGGTCCGGGCGCGACACTGAGGGTTGCAATCCGTTGCCGGACACGAAAAAAGACAAAAAGGAAAATAAATAAATAAATAAGATTTAATTACCACCATTATTCTCTGAATGAATTTTTTTAAAAAAACTGTCTTGCTTTGATTGAAATCACACATCATGGTAGCAAAACTGATATTTTTTGAAATGCCGTTTATCCCTCTTTGATTTTCCGTGGTTATAACCTAAACATTTTAATCATATATACATTTTTTAAAATTCTTTGCAAAGTTAAAATACTTCCGTTCTTGAAATAAAGTTTTTAAATCTGAGAACATCAAATTTTCAAATTCTTTTTGAAGTTAATTTAATAATATTTTTAATTTTGAGTTTAAATATTTAACTTAATATTAAACAAAATAACTGAACAAAAAAAATTGATTACAAGAGAATTCTTGTGCTATTTTATGTCTTTCTGCTTTTTTTTTTTTTTTTTTTTTTCAGCTGTGATATATTCACTTGTGTTTCTCTCCACTTATTATTATTGCTCAGGGGCCTGTAAGTGGCTATAGAAATAACTCCACATGTTTAGTCTGAACAGATGACAATGTTTAAATGATCCAAAAGTTAAAGAAAAAGCACTTAAAGTGTGTCTGTAGCACAGCTGAGCAGTGGCTAGACTTGCTAGGTTTTGACCAGAGGAGCAATTATATCCTGGTAGCTGTGATCTCTAGGTCAAAGAATAAATAATCAGGAGCAGTTGATATAAAAATGTTTTTCTTCCATTCCATTTTTTAAATAACCAATTTGCCTTTTCCACCAAAAATAAAAGAGAGAAATGGTAAAAAATACAGAATATAAAAATAGACAAATAGTTTGTTAGTATCTGTTATTTACTAATTATAACATTTTATAATTTTAGTAAATTATATTTACTAAATTACTAAATTATTGCAATAACTACCATTTTATTATGATTTCAGTAAGTTTTAAAAATTAGTATTCTGAGCCATTTTAACAAAATTGATACAACTAATAATTGCTAAAAAATAAAATCACTTATTTAATGTTGATTATTTCTTGTTACAATATATAACTGTTACTGAACTTTATCTCCAAGATATGCAGAAATAATAAAATCAGTTCTCTGTTATGCATACTGATGGTTGAGGTGAAAGACATAGATAACAAAATATACTTTATCAAAGTATATTTTTGAGAATTACATTTTTGAAGAATATTTAATTTTTCTTATGAAAGTAATATATTTATTACAAAAATTCAGCAAGAGGAAATTATATAAAATCACCCATAATTTACCATACAAAAATAATGGATATTTTAGTACCTATCATGATATACACACATGTTCATGTTCTGACATTCTCACCTGACCTCCTTTTTCTGTTTGTCAAATGCAGGTAAATTACAAACTAGCTAATCCACTCTCAGTTTAATAGACAGTGATAATTATAGTATTAATAACTTATTTATTAAGCATTCTGTGTACATCAGGTAGGCATGGGGCTAAACATTTTACATGCATTTTCTCTTAACCATATTTTTAATGTTATTAGTCAAACATAGGAAATTGCCTACAATTTTACAATTGTCAGTTTCATTGTGCCAATATGTTTAGGCAGTTGGGTATAATGTTCTTGTCTTGCTTTACTCCTGAGGTAAAATCTTGAAGTCACCTCATAAAATTGAGGCTCATAGAGAGATTACCTTTCAATCACAAGAAATATTTTATTTCTATTTCAGAAAGTTGTGAGGATCAGATATGACAGTATATGCGCTAGTATTTTGAGAAGCACAGTGGTTTATATGAATTTATTATGGCTGTACTATTAACTAGGAGAAAAATCTACAGAAAGTAAACATTTTTGTCTATATAATGTTTAAGTGTGCCAGTATTACAATTACATAGTACTTATAAGACTATGAATAGGATTCCATCTATTTTTTAAATCACATACCCTAAAAACATTAACATTTACAGTAAATGTACTGCTTTACTAAATATCAACATTAATTATTAATCTGGGAAAGAATGTCTTAGAAATAGTTTCAGTATGATTAAACTGAATTTAAATGGTTTGTATCTGAAAGGTGACCGGCAAGAGTCAGTATCTTCTGGGCGGTATGACCTAACCAGTTTTACAGCTCATCAATTACTGCTGCTTGCTTTTTGCATAACACATCCTAGTATGCTTATCATTTATGGGAGAATAAAACTGTACACTGCAATAATGTATTGTATGTTGGCTTTGCCTGTCACTCTTTGAACTGAGTATGAAATAAATACTGTAGTTGCTTCTCCATTAGATTCACTGCATTAATGCTACACACAGTATCAACCTAAATACAAAGCTATAAAGTCAGTTGGATAAATAATGGCTAGTAAACATTGTGGGTGAAGGAAATGAACTTCTCTTAGATCGTTTTGAAATTGTAAAGTGCACATGTTTTGGGCACGTTTGCTTCTTGCTTTTCTGCTTCTATCACTGTAGTATAATTGCATCTTTGTGTGTGGTTTTTTTTTTTTTTCTTTACTGTATAATCCTCAGTCTTGCATATTGGTTTACCCTATCCCTAAGTTTCCACATGAACTAAAAAAATAGTTTGAACACATCGTTTAGCATTTTATTAGAAAGTCAAAGCTTTAAAGAAAGAGCTTATAAAAAGTAATAAAAGTAAAGATCTTCATATTTATTCTCTCAAATTTTGGAAAGCTTTTTACACATCACTGGCATCACATCTTTTTCTACACTGCTCCTGATTTGATCTTTGATTCTAAAGTATCACTACTTCACAATAAATATGTAAGAAAACTTAAGAATATAATAATTATGTAATTAATATTGGTACCTTAAATTGATTTAGGAACGAAGAGCTCTAGAAAGAAGAATATCTGAAATGGAAGAAGAGCTCAAAGTAAGTAAATCATGCTATTTATGATATATAGTGCTGCTTATGAATTTAAATTTTATAATACTATTATAGATATTGGTTACATTAATTGTCCTCAAAGCTGATTACCCAGTTGGTGGACTATCTGTATCTTGTGCTTTCTTTCTTCCTAAATCCAGGTTTTAGTGAGCTGGAAGAGGTTTTAAAACCCAAATTGTTTTGATAATCAATTTGTATAGTGATTTGGATGTTAAGGTGGAGAAAAAATTAGACAATAACAGCTACAAAATGAGGGATTTATTATTTATTTTTCACATTTCTATATGTTCCTATGTTTCTTGGAGAGTAATGGTGAAGGAGGATAATATAAGATAAAATGTTCTTCTTTGAAAATAAAGGATATTAGAGGAGTGAACAAGCAGAGCCATATTTTATCACTCTGCATTACCTGTGGAAATAATTGTTTTGAATGTTGAACACTCCTTGTAGAAAAGAAAATAGCATAGTTAATTGATTACCTCATCACATTGTCTTGCATAAAATATTTTATCACATTAAGAATGCACGTAGGGTTAGAAGTTCAGGATTTAAATGTTTTATTATTAAATTGTTTGGTTTATTATTAGACCATTATTATTGAATGGCTCTGAAGATTGGAGACAAATCTTTTGGATTTTGTTTGCTTATGCATTATTTACCTTTCTAAATCTCTTGGAACATTCTTTTAAGACTTAATTTTTTCTTCTTATACTCATTACCTGTGATTCTTTATATTCTTATTGTATTCTTTTCCATTTTCTTATTTTTTATTTCTATTTCTTTATGTTCTGATTCCTACAGAACCTGCACCAAATAAAGCAAATTCAATCTCTGAGAGAGTTAAATGAGCGACTGCTGACTGAGAATAGGGCCTTGACAAGAGTGGTAGCCAAGCGCTCAGGGTTCTATAGGCAACTACAGTCTGTGAACCTATAAGTTATAGTTTCATCATTTCTTCTGGTTAGAGCCAGGCAGGTGTTTTTGCATTAGTAAGTGTGTTTTTGTATTAGTAAGAGCTCACTTTTACAAAGTAATGCCATTGTGTTTGGAGCTTATCATATAACTTTTTATGCATGGCTTTTCAGAATGTTAGAAAATGTCACTAATTGTATATTGCAACTGATAAACTACAATAAAATTAAGAAATGATTTACGAATTTAAAGACTTGTCTGCTATTTTCTAAAGCTTGTGCACATTTTTGGCTCTACAAATATTTTCAGGCTTAAAATATAGCTATTTACAGTTCTTTACTAAAAAGAACGTAGAACATAAACAGTATATTTTACATACAATGTATTTTTTAGCTGAAGATTAAGCATGCATTATCTGTTTTTGAGAATAACTTAGTCAGAATTATATTAGTTGATATTAAGTTCTGTATTACAAATATCCTAATACATAAATTTGAAATTACTATATTTTATATCTAAACATTCTGAACACATAAGAATTGGTTGGTTCCACATAAAATTAAACTCTTCCTAAAGATTTTACTTAAGGTAGTTTTTCAAGTAGAAGTTTTAATTTTTGTCTAATTAGATACTCTAGTACATTTCGAAAACTGAGGAAAGATGGCTAAATATTTTGGAAAGTATGGTTTAATGTGTGAAATATAAGCTGTTTCATTTCCTAGTGAACCTGGCAGGGCACATGTAATTTTAATCGTTCTTAGTAGAAAATTCACCTAACTTGTGACATTTTTACTCCCTCCTTCAATTTGTAGAACAATAGAAAATAGAATTGCTTTGTTTTGAGGATATGAGATTGTATTTTTTATTTGCTTCACATACTGGTTATATTTTATGCTTGGATGTTTTCATTGATATGGATTTACTGCTTTAGCCTAATATTATTTTATATTATGCTAATAATAGTAATAATTGCTTTGTTACCATTTAATGAGCACCTGTCTTGGATCAGACAGTGTACTAGGCACTTAAACTTAGGTACTGTAAGTGAATCCTTGAAGGAATTTTAATAATTTACAACAAGTCTCATTTCCTCAAAACTTTCCTAGATAGAATGGTTTTCTTGTAGCACAGTAGTGTGAGTATTATGGTTTTAGGTATGACAGGCTTTGGTTTAGGTGCTGACAGGAACTATTATTAAAGGAACTCCCGTTAAGAGTCTATGCTAACAAAAACAGGCTTCATTTTCTTGGCTGATTTACCATGGTGTGCTTGTGAATCATAAAATCAAATGTTTTAGTAAATTTTAATGGATAACTTTGAGAGAATAAGCTTTTTATTATATTGTTTACTAAACTAATTAGCTTATCAGGGTGGGGGTTTTTTCCTTCTTGATATATGTTTTGGATACTAGAAATATATATAACTGGCAAAGCTTGACTATGTGTTTTATGGTGAAAATATAACATTTATTAAGAGTAATGTTTTATTTTTTCTTGAAGTAAAAATTTTTCTTCTATTTTTTCCCCTCATAGATGTTACCAGACCTAAAAGCAGACAACCAGAGGCTAAAGGATGAAAATGGGGCCTTGATCAGAGTTATAAGCAAACTTTCCAAATGAAAAAATAAAAAGCAGCAAGTAATGGAATTGCACATATTACTAACCCAGTGGACCATAATTGGCAGTCACTGGAAGCCTGGAAAGAATTCTTGGAGACTGTCATTTTTGGATATCCTGCCAAATGCCCTCCTATCTAGGATTTTTGTTTTGTTTTGTTTAATTTTCTGGGGGGTTTTGGTTGGTTTCTTTCTTTTTTTTTTTTTTTAGATCAAGACCATTGTTTCATGTTAATGCAGCTGCTGAGAAGATTTTTTTTTTAATGACTGAGAAAACTTGTTTACAGCTCCAGCATATAAGGAAAGTGTTCAAGGCCAGATATGCCTCAGATATTTAACCAGTAAGCCTTAGTTGTACATAAATACTTTTGTGTCAACAAAAACTTTCAGCTCTCACAGAAGACAGTTATTCAACATTTTTTTGATGTGCCACAGTTTCCAGTTTTTCAATATTTAATTTTTTTGCTTTACATCTAAGTTTGGGTTTGTATCTTCTCCTTCTAACTCTTCATGTGGCAGAGTCTTCTATGTTTTCGTAGCTTTTTCATTTACAGAAAAAAACACTTGCTCTTCTGAGATTATTGTCATGTATTAGGCTAATGCTGTGTTGTCTCCCACCTGGAACTGAATTGCTTGGTGGAACATTTGCTTTCACTGTTTGTGCAATATGCATTTATTTCTTATATGAATGCTTTAAAGTCAATTGAGATTAGATCTTTTAAGTTCTATTTTCTGCCTTCATTGGTCACTTTTTTGTTTTTCTTTTTTTATTATTGTAGTATAAGATGTTAGATTCTGTAATCTTCACATTCATTTTAGCAGGTACTGAGTGATGCTGTATATATAAATAAGTGTACTGTTTTGATTTTTAGACCACCACATGGCATGCTTGACTATTTTCTTATTTCAAGTTTCTGTTAATACAAAGTAGGCTACTCCATGATAGTGTTAAAAACAAATGTGCTAACAATGTGATATAAAGACATTTAAAGTTACACATTATGTGGAGCCCTATCTTTACAAAAGTTTTCTACTGTATAGTGCTTTTACTTTTATTTTCAGTTTTCATTTGATAGTATTCAACCATAATTAAAGTTCTATAAGATACTTGCTTCACATTTCACGTACCTATATTTATCTGAGTGCTGTCTAAAACTGTTGTGCTAGCCAAAGTAATGCTATGAAATCATTTGCAGACTTAACCCATAAGTTAATGTTAAATGCACTGTAATTGCCATGTGAAGAGGCATCGACTTTGATACCACCATTATGTTCAGACCATTTTATACATTTCAGTGGCCTTTTTTTAAGAAAAACAAAAAAGCAAAACCAAGTACATAGTGAAGATGGCTTTTATTTGGACAAATAGCTTTTATATTTTCATTAAACCGTGCAAAAAATATTACATCTTTCTGGCACATAACTGTCTCCTTAACCACTGAACAGTTCAGCCATTTGAATAAATTGTACATTATAAAGCTTATAGTAGCTGATTGTATTATTGATTGTATTGTATACTATATTAAATGTGAATTTGTACCCCTTCATTTTAAAAGGTCATCGTGTTCTACTGCCTATTTTAGATTACTTTGGGGTTGGGGAAGGGTGTTTTGGTAAGCAGGATTTTAAGTCCTCTCTCTCTCGATTGGTTTTATGAAGATATAAGGTTATGCTCTTACTACCAAGCTCAGGATTCTTGATTTTAAAGGTACAAGGATAGTTGTGGGAACTTTATTTTTGGTTATATTTGAACTGTATGAATGGTGGGTCTGAATATAGAGAAATCCATGGTCTTATGTGGAGGTAAAATATACAGTTAATTGATCAGTTTGAGTGACTGCAACATGTTCTGGTTGCACAACAGTTAGGCATGCTATGGTTTATATTTGTGAAGTTTGGATGCCTGTGAAGAATGATTAAATACATGTTTCTAATATTTTAGTGTTTTGTATTTAGGTTATTTATTCTTTGTATCTAAAACTGAACAGCTACTGTGCTATATTGATTTTATTGGTAGTATTGAGCAGACCTTGTTTCTGCATGAAACTAGTTGCAAAACCCACTATTTTGGAAATAAAAATGTATTTTGACATATACAAATAAAATGAATAAAACTATTTTAAATGTGTGAACTTTTAATGAAGACATTTTAAATTTTGTTCTGAGATATTTAAATTCTGCATGGGTATTTTTTCACTACTTGCTCTACTTGGATATCATTTGAATAATTTTTGAAATTGTAATATTGTGATAATTTGCACAACATTGTACATGCACATCTGTAAATGCAACCTTAATTGCCATATTTATGCAATCTGTGTACCAATTTGGACAAATGTTTATATATTTTACATAAAGCTGTCTGTATGCAGAATCTGAGAACTAATTTTTTTATGATAAGTGGGTAAAAAAAAAAATAATAGTGAGTTTCAAGATAATTGCTTTCAAGATAGTAGCACAAGATTTTGTTTCCATAAACTTTTTTTTAAAATTAAACCTGTACTTTTTCTTGGTTGTAAACATAGGCTTAGGAATATATATGAAGATAATATTCCATTGAAATGTAAAATTTACTTTAATAAGAGGCACTTCTGATTTTGGAACTTTGGCAGAGTACGTGAAGTAAGCATGTGTTTAACTAAATACAAGGTTTGAATTCCATCCTTTCTTTCTACTTTCAGTACTTCATGCTCACAGAATGGTAGGCATTACTGTTATTTATCCTCCATAAAAAAGCATTTCACATACAAATACTTGAAAGCCAAATAAAAAGCAGCAATAGAACTATTCAGGAGAATATTCATTTAAAAAAATAGATATTTGCTAAACCATTAGACGACTTTATTCTTTTGCTTAAAAGTTTACCACTTATTCTTTCCTGGCTTATCTGGGACAGTCATAACTTCCAATGTCAACACTTACTGAGTTTGTTGCATTAAGAAAACATCCAGAGGGATATTTCCCATAGAACATAATTACTTTGTAGATTGTCCTTCACTTTGTCATTATAAGCAAAATACAGACTAAAGTCCATTAACAATTATTAACTATCCATTAACCCTATTTTGCTAATGAAAACCTTTGGTTGCAAAGATGAAAGCTAACTGATACTCAGTCTTTTCTTTGATGGTCCATGTTTTACACTGCGTGTGGTCTCTGTGTCTGAATATGCATGTTCAGCAGAGGTAATGTACATATCAGAACTGTTGTCCAAAAAGTAATAGATTTAGAATGAAATAGTTATTTTCTTATTGTATGTCTCTCAATAACTAAAACAGTTCTTTTACTTTCATTTTAGAAAGATTCTCTGGGGTTAATTGCTATGTAAATAGAGTGCTCTTTCTATTAGGTAAGTGGCATAGAGAGTATCATATTGCTGTTCCATGCCTACAAAATGACCATATTACAAAGGAGTAAATTTAAAATAAAAATAAATGAGCCAGAAGTATAAGGTTCTGTTTCTGTAATAAGATAATATAAATAATGAATTCTGTCTTATTCCTGTAACTTTGAAGTTCTATTAAATGTTTTATAAAGCTTATTAGAAGCAAGCTCATTTGAGCCAGGCTGTCCCGACATGTCACTGCTTAAGTGCCAATAAATGTCTGGATCACAGAAATTAACTAGATTTTCCTTTTTAAAAAGCTGAAGGAAAAGGAGGAGGAAAAGTTTGAAGAAATGAATAATATTAGTAGATTTTGTCAATAATATATAGCAAGTACGGCATTGTACTTGGTACTTGTATGTCTAGGAGAGTGGTGGTGGAAAAGGGAGACCTCTGCCCCTTCCACATGCTCAGTTTTTCTTACATGTCTGTTTTGATACAAATCTGTTTCAATATCATATCTCATTGGATTCTTAAAACAGGCTAGATAGGTAGAATATATCTCCATTTTACAGGTGAGAAAGATGAGGCTTACAGATTATTATGTGATTCAATATCTGAAGCCTGGTACAACACGGAGCTCTTAACTGAAACTTAGTGGTGGTTGTCATTGTTTTTCACACTCCCCAAACCAGGTTGTTTCTTATACTAGTTATTTTATCTGCCTGAAATTGCCAAGTTACTTATGAGTGTATTTTATATTTTTAGGCTTAAAGTATTTGATTATCTTTGAGGGTGGCATTTCTCGATTTTTAGTTTTTCCTCTGCATTCTCTAATTCCACATCCTAACCCCCACACCTGCTGAATTTTCCCTTCTCTCCTTAGGGCTTATTTTTTTCCCTATGAGATTTTTTTTTTTTTTTTTTTTTTTTGGGCTGATGAATGCTCTAATGCTCAAGCAGCTAGTTGACTCCCTGGTGTAAATTCTGACTATGGCCAGTCCTATGTACATCATAAGTTTGTAAAAGATTTCATACACCCATATGAAAAGGAATTTACTTTTGCATTGTTCAAAAATAGATTTTTTAAATTGGTGATTGATGCTTAATTGCCAAGAATCTTTTTTTATTCCATAGTAAATTAGGCAATCTTGATGTTGCTATGGTTTTAGCAGCAGACTTTTCTCTTCCAATGGAAATATATGTGGAATATAAAATATATAAAAGATATAAAAATGTATTAATATAGGGCCGGCCCGGTGGCGCACTGGATGGTGCGCCGCTTGGGAAGCGTGGCGGCGCTCCTGCCCGAGGGTTCGGAGCCCACATGCAGACCGGTTCCCGCTCACTGGCTGAGTGAGGCGCGGGAGCAACACTGAGGGTTGCGATCCCATTGCCGGTCCCCGGTCTGGTACAGGGGCAACACTGAGGGTTGCGATCCGTTGCCGGACACGGAAAAAGACAAAAGACAAAAAAAAAAAAAAATGTATTAATATAAACTCAGATATGAACTACCCATCCAACCTCCTCCTCCACCCAAAAAAGTACTCAAAAATTAAAATAGGCCTCTATAAGAAAGTGTCATGGCAGGAGCATGACTTCTTCACTTATTACTGCAAAATTCTTAGGTCATGACCGGAATATTGTTAAGCAGATGCATCTAACCTGCACTTTTATGTTAAATGTACTGTACACACGCTCTAGTAGGACACTAATTTATGTGAATCAATATATGCTGGCCTAAATTTTAGGTGTGCTACTGCCTTCCTCAACACTGGAAAATTCAAATGTAAGTACAGGGCAGGAGAATCTCCACACAAAAATGAGATAATCTCACAGTACAAGTTAGTGTATGAGTGTTCAATATTTTACAAATTTACCTATATCTAATGTATTTTTATAATTTCTAAAACATCATTTTAACAAACAATTTAACGTTTTGTGAGATCCATAAAACACCTTTGCAAAACCTATGTAGTACTCATTTATAAACTTTTGGCAAGGTCGACCTTTGGATTCAGTCAGCTCAAGATATAAATCCCAGCTTCATTTGATAAATGTCAGTAATGTATTTTCAAAGCATCTTACAGTATTTAAAAATTTAATAGTATTGTTCTCCTTAGAATATATTAAAGCAAAATTTTAGAATAATTTACTTGGTTACCATAAACACTTGAACTTTTACTCTGATACCAGTAAGAGAGAAAGGTATGAGGTGGATTTCAGAGGACTTCCTTGAACCACTGGAAAGAAGGAGAAAGTACACCTCTGTAACCATACCGTCACATCTTTCTTAAAAGATTCCGGGGACACTGACCTGCTGCTCTTGTGAGTCTAATCTATTTATGAACCCCACTGCTGTTTCCAAAGGGAAGTACCGGAAAGTGGCAGGGCATTTATAGGTGTCTCATACAAAATATATTTGCTGTAGAAAAGCAGGTATTAAGTGTGGGCTAGTAAATGTTTTAATTAATACTTAACCATTATTAATAATTGCTACTCTAGTTCTTATTTTAATTGAAATGTGTAGTTGTTGGAATGTCAGGATTATCACTAATTTTGGATGCTTTTAAAGTTTAGATAACGCTTCTCAAATTTTCCTGAGGTCATCTGGGCCTTTGTCAGCTTTTAGTCAGACTAACCTTGTTAAATAATAGTCTTCTGCATAAGAGTTTTATAATCCGTGATTTGTTTTTTCATCTGAAACTTAAGTCCTGCCTATCTCATTCTTACTCCATATTGCATCTTTAGTGTCTAATACTTGGTAGGAAAACCAGAGGGGAAGGGGGCTAAGTTTTAGTTAGTATTTTCTGTGTACAGACCCTACGTGTATATTTCTGATTTTTTAAAAAAGTGATTTTTTTTTGTTTGTCTATAAGCTCCTGGAAAGGACAGAGTTCATCTTTTTTGTCAGCACTTAATTAATATGGTGCCTGGCACATAGCAGGTGTTTACTGAGTGTTTTAAAGGGGAGAGAGTAAATCTGAATAATTAAATTGTGATGTACAAGTTTTATGGAAGAAAAATATCTTGGTTGGCATCTAGGTTTTTAAGAAAGTTTTTTGTTTGGGGGTTTTTTTAAAACTATTAAATATAAACATTCTGATATTTACAGATTTTGTCTTAGTCATTTGACAAGTTCTTGTTATCACTTATATGCCAAACACGGCCCTAAGGGGTGGGGATACATCCAAAAGCAAAATAGGCAAAAATAAATCCCTGCCTTGTGGAGGCTAGCTACATCCACATAGCAGAAAGATTGAAAATAAACTATTACACATTATTTTAGAAGATAATAGTTAACTATGGGGGGGGTGGAAATAGAGCAGGATAAGAGATTTCAGGAGTGAGAGGAGAGCCAGTCAGAGAAGGCCTCAATGAGAATGTAATATTTGAACCAAAGCTGTAAGAATGGTTGCTCAAGAATTATGCAGATGTCTGGGAGAAGAGCATTTCCAGGCAGAAGAAACAAAAGCAAAGGCCTTCAGGTGCAGATGTTCTCTGGTGTTTGAGGAATGGTAAGGTTAATATGGTTACAGTGGGGGCCGGCCTAGTGGCGCACTGCTACAGTGCGCCGCTTGGGAGCGCAGCGGCGCTCCCGCCGAGGGTTCGGATCCCACATACAGACCGGTTCCCGCTCACTGGCTGAGCGAGGGGTGGGCGCAGCACCGAGGGTTGCGATCCCGTTGCCGGTCCCGGTCTGGTACGGGCGCGACACTGAGGGTTGCGGTCCGTTGCCGGACACGAAAAAAGACAAAAAGGAAAAAAATATATATATGGTTACAGTGGGGTGAGCAAGAAGTAGAGTAGGAGAGAAGATTAGAGAGATAACAAGAGAGCTACATTAGGGACTTCATTTAGATATTTATTGACTCTCAAAAACCTTATCTATACCCTTTCCCAGGAAGAATCTGTAACTCTTTATAATAAAAGCCACAAGTACTATATAATTGTAAAATGGTTCTTTTATAAAATAGTTAAGAATTGGAATATAAATTGTGAATTTGGGAGAATAATTATACTAGAAAACCTAGGCTAAGTCTCCTAGG